TCTCTGGTAAACGAATCACCGCGAGTAATTAATTATTGATTGACCCGCTTTTTATCATAACAGGTACACGTTTTTAATTGAGTGTGATCGTTTCGTCGGTCTTTGTTGAACAAATTTGACTGTAATTAATGTATCGGAAAAATCCCTTCTTCCATTCGATTTTGACGGGAATAATTTTGCATCCCAATTTCATCAAACATTGGATTTAATTTAATTAAATCAATACGAACGCAAACACGCATCTCGTTTACAACAATTTTCCGGCTTATTGATTTATTATACGGCTAATATCATTAATTCGTAATTAACGAAGTTGATTTAGGCGGCGTTCCCGCAACATTTGTAAAGTTTATTCCGGTGACATTTCGACCGTCGTCGTGGACGCCCCATAGACTAAGTTGCGCCTCGATAAATCGAGGCGCCAAATACATCAGCGATGCGAGCCCGTTTCGGCTGTTTTCCCGAAACGCGACTCCATTAGAGCCGAAACATTACTCATGCATCTTGGCTTTCCGAGCGCGCCCGCAAATTTGCTCGCCTAAATTATATTGCGGAGGATAAAATTTCGACCTTTCGCGGATTTTCGAGCGGAGGATCGATTTTTTTTTTGTTAATAGGTCTTGCAATTGGACCGAGGAAATCCGAAGTTTATGCGATATTGGGAGTTATTTTTGGTGCTCCAAAAAATCTCTAACCCTACTGAACGAGCCAAATGTAATCTAGATAACATCAGGTGGAATTCTATACAGTAAACTACACGAACAATCGATTTTAAAAAGCAACGGATACAGTTCGAATATGCGAGATTTTGTACAGTTAGACGAAAATGAAACGATTGATCGGCTGGTTTTGAATATATACCTGATACGGCCATTATGCGCTTGAAACTGTACAGCAATACCATAAAGACGATTTTAATTTCGTCGCCGTAAAAGTCCCGAGTACGCGGAGAGTTTATCAACATTTCCACTGAATCATAATTATTAATTAGCTTCAATAAGTACGCGTTTAATGGTAATGCATAATTTAAATGGTAATTTATCTAATAAAAATACCATTAACTGTTTATACGGCCAGGAATTTACACCGTAATTAAATTAACGAATTATTTAATAAATTGAATAATGTCAATGTTTATGTAAGCCAGAAATTAGTCAAGTACTGCCGAGATTTAACGTGGATTTTTTACCAACGCGTATATACAGCGCCGTTTGTAATTAACGAACGTCGCGCTCTCTACGGGCATTTCGTTTGAAATTTTCGCGTCGAATAACCCGGCAATTATAAATTCAGTTGATGAAAATGAAATTATAAGTTTGTCACGGGAAGCGCTCGTGACATCGAACCCGGTAAATGCATTTCAACTAACGTCCATCGGCAAAAATAATCTGCATACAATTTAAATGAAATGTACGGATGGATGAATAGGTGAATAATGGGGCAATTTGCGACTTTCTTCATGATCGGCGCACAACTGGGAGCCGAGCTTTCACTGCATATGCAGATGTACTGCACATACACACAGATAGATAGGAGGAAGTGGATAGAAAACGTTGGATTATCGTCTCTGAAATATGGTGGAAAAAAACGGCTTTGATGCATTAGGCAATTATGCGGACTTGTAAGGAAGGTATTGGAGAGAATATAAAGGTATTACACGGGTATCATTATCATTCTTATGTAATTTTTTTTATTGAGTTAAAGTTGAAATTGTCGTTTTTGTAAGCTTGAGTTATATTTCATTTCTTATGCAATAAAACGGGATTGGATAGATAAAAAAAATTACAAATACCTCTAAACATACAGAGTAAGCTGATTCGTAAGTGAATGAACGTCCTATAGTTATTCATTACTAAATTGCGCAATTACCGAGCAATTGTTGTCTTTCTTCATACACTCTTGAACTTTTAATTGTTCTTTGATATATTGACAATTAAACGGACCACCCCGACACACTCCCGTTTCCATTCCTATCGTCATCTCATTGACCCAGAACCCTTTAATGAACACCAATAAATAATCAAGTGCAGGCCGGTTCATCGAATTTTATCAACATTATTATTTTCATGAGCATAACGACCAATTAAAACACCCAGATACGATGAAAAATGATTTTGTGAAAAACGATTGCGCTACTAAATAATGGTTTTTAACACAATGGCCGGTCCTTCGTTCGGCAGTTTATTTATTATGCAATAATTGCGTGATTTTGATGGCCGTCCGCGGTTAATTTGAATATCATACAGAGGGCGGTGCGATGGGGTTAGAGGTATTCAAATTGATACACAATACGGATAAATAAATTTAAAATCCTATTATTAGATTTATGTACTTTGTATAGGTGGTTGGCATCAATCGGGTTTAAGCCGAGCTTAGTGCGATAGTGGCCTAAAATAAATCGATGCGACCCAACTTTACTGTAAAAATTTTTGCCGGGGTTTTCGACGAGACGTTGTTTACTAGCTTTCCACAATCAGTTATTAATCATGGCAATTTCAAAGCAGACCTTCAACGGGAACGGCGAAACGTCAGAAGCGCGAGACGAGAGAGAAGGGCGAAGAATTATAAGGGCTGCCATGTGCCAACGAGACTAAGATTAAAAGATTTTCTTATACACTACTTAACAATTTCGAATATGAGGCATAAGCATGTACTTACAAACATCTCTACAAAAGGCAGGTGAAAAGGGAATAAAGAAAGGCCCCCGAAGATGATGATAACAGGAACGGACTCGCCCGTATACGAACGGTTGCTCCGTAAAAAAAGATAATTTAGGATTGAAAAACGATATAAAAGTAATGAATTTTTTATGAATAAATACTGTTGGGGTAAATCTTTGTGTGGTGTAAAAACTTGGGAGTGTACTCGAACATCGTTTAAGAGAATTAGACAGTTTGAGCCTCTGCTCGAACTCGACGGAATATCCAGATGAAAAGAAACGATTGGTAAAAAGTAGCGTCAAATAAGGCAAAAAAAAAGCGTGGAAAAAAGTGTTTGATGACGGTCCTGTGCGGGTAGAAACGAGCTAAGGAGGCATTCATGCTTAGGACAGCTCAATGTATACCTCCTACCCTTACCTGAATATCATTGGGTTTCTCGGTATTTTATGTATACTAAGGGTTTTATGGCTCTCTTCGAGTTCCATAACCGCCGACGATGCTATGTTGTTGCTCCGGAACATCATATTGATTGCGTTTTCTTTTCTTTTATTTATCGTTCGCAGTCGGTCGTCATTACACGAAGATTTTTCGTTGTTATCGTCGATTTTAACACGCACGACTTTCGAGTATGCCCGTACATTCGAACGATTTATGTATAAGAAGAAAATTTATACTCATAGCCGTAATTTTTTTTTTCAGTGAAAAAGCAGATATTAATTTATCTTTTTCGATTCGGTACGGGTGGCTATATCGATTCCTTCGGTATACTCACACTCTGCTAGAGTGAGAATTATTCTTGATTGTAATCGACTACAATTCATTAAATTTATAAATTAGGTTTGTAGATGAATATATGTTCCTTTTGACAGGTATAACGAACGAGCGAGCCGTTTTGTTTTGTTGTGTCATTAACGATTATGAGCCGTGCGGCAATTGCATCAAACCCAGAATAAATAAGCGTAATCTGTGATTCCGGAAACACTAAAAATAGTCGGAATGCCCATCTGCCGGATGACTATCACTCATAAAACAAAGAAAGGAACACTTACTTTTCACGATAATTTAAACAAATATCATCGAAAATCCGATGGATTTTTTTCCATCGATATTCAAAAGGTTAATACGTTCGATGTGGCATTAAAACAATACCAAATCCTCGTAACATGATGCTAAAAGGAGTACGCAATAAGTTGTAGAATTCGATTAATTAGTAGGTCAAATCGAAACCGTAGATTCGCGCGTATCGATAGTTTTTCGATCCTTTCGTCGAATCCCGAAGCGATAAAACGTCGGCGCTTGAATTTAATCGAGCCGGGCCTTTCGAATTTGTTCAGCGCGATAAAAAGGATTTTTACAACCGTTCGATTTGTCGTTGATTAATGAACAGAAAAATCACGCTCCACCCAACGTTTATTTCTTGCAACATGCACGCATCATTACCGCCAAAGTCCGTTTGATATTACGGCGATGTCGCAACCGTTGTGGCGAATATAGCGATAAGTTACACAATCGTATGGTTTTTTTTTTGGCAAAACAAAAACGCAGGTAACTACATCAGATGTGTTGTAAACACCTATCAGATTGTCATCAATGGGATATATTATTTATTTCGGTTGTGGGCAATGTAATCTAAACCGCTATACATCATATACATGTGAAATTTATGCAAGATTCGTTACATCATTTTTTTTTCTGCTACAAATTACTTTCGTTTCTTTGGTTGTAAATATTTTTAATTGCTGATGCGTATAGTGAGATTTCTTTTAGAAATTTCTTTGGTCTCTCTATAAAGGAATGGTTTTCGCATATACAAATTTTTAATCATAGGTTAGCTCGGTGGATAAACATTAAGGCTTCGACATTGTCGATAATAGTTGGCGATTTTCCGATTGATTTGTCGAAACTCTGTCGAGGGGACAGCGAAAGGGCGTTCTGTTTCAGGATCCCGTTTCTAATCAATTAAACCACCTGTTTGGATTCGGGACTTATTAGTCCTCGTTAACGTAAAGGATATGGAGTAGGATGCGCCACTGATACAGCTAAACTCGTTCAAAGGGAATAATGGATCCTTTGGCCCTTTCGAACTGTTCTATTAGAAGCGATGCAATTCCATCAATGTGTACGTTCACTTTGCGCGAATCTAATCAAAACGGAGTTTGCTGTTAGATATAATACAGTAATGAATTATTTAGGTATCTAATTTAGAAGGGTTCGTTTTTTTTTTGGTTATCGCGTTTAAAATATACCTTTTTAAAACAATTTAGCGTACTAAAATCCCTTTGAAGAACCCGAAATTAATCTAATTACTATAATCGGCTTCTCCTTAAATTCTGGTCGTAAATGTTCCGGTTCTTCATTTTCGTTAGCAGCAACAGCAGCGCCGTATTCGAGACATGCACGTACGACATATTAATTATTGTTTTTTTGTAACAATCGTACGCGAACCTCTCATGCAACGTACCATAAACCAGACAATAATAATGATAATTTAATAGCCCGCGTATAAGTACGTTTTGAACAAATATAAGAAAGACACGAAGCGGAAATTCCTTTCTTACTTTTTTTTTATTTTTCGTATACATACTTAGTTGTTCGAAAAAAATATGTGTGCCGGTCTATTTCTATTTCGATCCGACGTATCGGGATACATTTTTTGAAATTATGGTCACATACAGTTAGTGATTTTCTCTATTTTCGTAACAAACCAAGCGTCAAGAGCCTTTGTTATGCTCATCGATTGGAAAAGGATATACAAGCGGACCGATAACGAATGTTATATAGCTACACCGACGAACACGATTTCCCGAACAGATGATTCGAAATTTTGTAACTCGCATTCCAATTGTTGCCGCGAGATTAAACTCGCAGATATAATAAATTATACGAACTTTTCATTTACCTTTAGCCGTAGCACGAGCATAGTATATTACGTACTCCCGTTTACCCTCCAATACTTATTTGATAATATTAAAATCGCAATTTAGTAAATATGTTTTTTTTTTAATTTCAGTTTCCTACATCGCACCATCGTCATCATCGGCAGCTTCGCTTGCACCATTGGCGATCAGGATGACCTCGACATGATCTCGGCGAGAGCCCGTAAAGTGATGGAAACCAGCGACAAAATACCGAACGGATCGGGTACCGCGACCGACGTCGCTCCAGCGACCATGGACGTCGCTTGTTCGCGCCTAAACGACGCCGGCGTCTCGAGCGTCTCCGACGATCGAATACGAGTACCTGTGCGCTCGCGGACGGGCGACGATCGTAGAACGAACTGCGCAGCCTGCGAAGGCGACTACGTTATCTGTGATTGTTTACATTGTGAAAAAGACTGTACGCGATTTCTTAGTTATATTATAACGTCGAGTGTGCGGATGATATTTATGTGCCTATATAAAAATAACCGGTCAATTGCGAAAGGGAACTCGAGCCGTTTGCTGCTGCTCGCCGTCGCGTTGCTGGCGTGTTTCGCGGGCGCCAGCGGGTTCGCCAACGAATTCGACAAGACCCAGCAGTTCTTGGACAAGATCAATTTGGAGAAGAGCATCGCCGCCGTGTTCAACAAAGTCGCCTACGGCAGCACGACCAAGCGTTCGATTCCCGACAACGTTTTCCCCGTCACCACCTTGGGCACGCCTCTGTTGACCACCTACCGGTACGGCAACGGCTACGAGGAATGGCAGCGGGTCGACGTGAAGACGTCGGACGGCGATCGCGACGTCGACCGGTCCAACGTCGATTTCGAACAGCCGGATTTCGAGAGCGAAAACAGCCGGAGGGATTTGGACATGGGATACGGCGCGGATTTGGAGAAGGACCACGCGCTGCCCACTTCGGCGCCCGCCGCCGACATACTCAAAAACAACAACAACAAAAACTACAATAATCCCAATCGGTACAATAACGATCGGCTAAAGCCGGACTTCAACGTGAACAATAACCAAGAACAAGTTACTGAGAACGTGTACAAAACCACCACGTCCTACAATCTTTTAAGAAACGTCAGACCGACGAAATCGATATACGGCAAGGAACCGCCTAGTTACGTACCGCCTAGTAGAGCCTTCTTTACACCACCGCTACCGCCTGAATACCAAAATCCCTTCGCCGACAAACCAACTCTCAGAGGCACCAATTCAGACGGTTTCGTCAACCGCAGGCCGATCCCACCGCCTAGCCTCATGCCAACGAAGGACCGCATACCATTCAGACCGGACTTGCCTAAAGTGAACGTAGAAAAACTACCCGAAAGGCCTAACTCGAACAACAACAATGAACCGTACCGCCCCAACACGAACCCCAACTCGCAAGACAACAAGAACGAGAAGAAAAAATCGCTGAACACGCCGTCCCAAACGGTGCGCGTCGGCGAGTTCCACGGCATCAACCGCAACGCCAGCGAGAGCAACTTCGAGTACGAGAAGATCCCCGTCGTGTCGGACATAACGAGGATCCTGAGCGGATCCAACGAGAAGCACGGCCACATATCGGACATACTGTTGAAGTCCGTCACGACGGCGCCCAACGTGCAGCACTTCGAGCCGAAGGTGCCCAAGACGAGGGCGCCGGCGGCGGAGCCCAGCCTCAAAATCGACGATTTCAACGAGATGAACCCGAAGGCGGAGGAGCCGAAGAGCGACGAGGCCGTGTCGAAGAAGGATCTGGAATCCGGCCCGCCCGATCGGTCCGAAAGCGTGACGATCAAAAAAGACAACGCTCTGTCGGAGAGGAAAAACAACCCCGAGGACGTAACGACGCAAATCTCCGACGTACTGAACCTGCCGAACGTCAAGGAAAAAGACGTTAACAGGGAGATGAACGTGACGATCGCCAAATCCGACGAAATATGGTTGATCTGTTGGAACGTGCACGTGTATCTGGTCGTCTTCGGGTACTTTTTGCTCGCCATGTTCTCCATCTACAAGTTGATCCGCTACGAAAACGATCCGCACATGTTCTCGAAGAGCTACTTTCTCACCATCCACCTGATGCTCACCGTCGTCTGCGTGCTGCGCATATTTTATCTGATTTACGACCCGTACAATTTGTCCAATTCGTTCAACGTGTTCCTCTACGATTTCCTGCACAATTTCCCTTTGAGTTTGCTGGCCACCACGTTCGCGGTGCTCATACTGTTCCTCTTGAAAAGAACGTTGACTCATCTCGAAGTTAAAACGCGTCCCGTGTTTCTGGTCGTGTTCGCTCTCTTGCACATCGCCCTCTGTTTCTGTCTGAGCATCGTCGAAACACTGGGGCATCTCGACAAAGCCGGTTTGACCATTTGCAAGCCGGTGTTCGTGCTGCTCGCTTGGGCGCTCGGCTTCAGCTACCTTTACTTGTCTCGAATCATCAAGAACGTACTCGCCAAGAAGAGCCAAAATCTATCCGAAATGTGCACTCAGAATATTTCTTACGCTAGTCATATCACCATAGCCATAGCTTTGCTGTTTATACTGCTCGGTTTGGTGCAAGTTTACGCTCTATTCTTCATCAAAGTCGATCGATTTAACAAGGAAATCAAACACCATTGGATACTGTGGGGTTTCGAGTTATCGGTGCGGTTCATAGAAATCTCCATAATCACGTTGCTCGCCATCGTGGTGAGCTTGAAGATGTCGCAAAGGGAGAAACAATCCGCCGGCGGGTTCCCGTTGTTCCCGTGCACGACCAGCGACTCGAGCACCGACAACATCTATCCCAACAACTGCAACACGAACCCCAACGCGTTGAACTACAGCCGACAGGAGATGATCATGGACAACATACCGCCGGAGCCGGTCGAGCGGCCCAACCTGCTGAAGAACTCCTTCCAAAACGACTCGTTCGACAGGAAATCGACGCTGGAACGCTACCAGAGCGACAGCGAGCGCGGCAGCAACTTCGACCGGTTCGAGCGCTCCAAATGGGGCTCCGATCGGTTCGCGCACGACGACGGCGCCGGCGGCGCCAGCTTGAACAACTACGTCCAACCGGGCTCGGGCAACTTCGAGCGCGGCGCGCACAATTCGGTGCAGAACTCGCTGCGCAACGAACGGACGTCGGGCAGGAAGCCCTGCGACTCGGTCAAGTACTACGTCAAGCCGAAGTACGACGTGGAGTACAACAACGAGGACTACCAGCACGATTTGTTCGGGAACAATTCGGAGAGGAACATCTACAGCGAGCCGGTGGACAATCCGGGCGCGCACCACCAGTACGAGCGCACGCGCCACGAATTCGAGCGGTCCGATTTCGACAGACGGTCGAGGAACAGCTCGAACACGAGCGGTCGAAGGTCGACGGGCAGGGCGCGAAAGAACCATCCGCGACCGCACCAGGGTACGCAGACGTTGCCCAGCCAGGACAGGCACCAGCTGCCCGATTCGATGCTCGTCGACGAGCGGGGCTTCGTCAGGTTCAGGCAGATGCAGGAGGAGCCCGACATGCCCAAGAAGTTCAAGCGCCAGCTCGCCGATCAAAATCACTATAGCGACGCGTAACTTTACGTTAGGGCTAAGCAGAAACGCACAGACGGTGAGGTATTTTTGTAAGGCGGCTATTTTTGGGTACGGGGCGAGTTTGCGATGAGGCGGTCGCTGGTAAACGATTTGTTTTTTTTTTGATTCTGGACTATAACGCAAAAATGTTACTTACAGCTCTTTAAATTTCGTGCAAAAATTGATGAAGTAATCGAACATTTTTGAAAAAGAAAAAATTCGATTTTGGGTTAAATTTAAATCGTTTCGGTAACTGCTAGTTTTATTTCCACAAATTCGTCCCGTACTAAGCGGTTAGAATGTAAAAATAGCTCTAACATTCGGGGTAGAAGAAAAATATCATTTTCTGTGTGTTTGTTTTCTTAGCTCGTTAATTGGTAACTCAGTCGAAATTTAGCCGTTTTGAGGCCTAAACATTGTACGTACGTTGTACGATGATCTCTATCTTTTTCGAAGCGCCGGAGAGCCGGAATATTGCGAGTGAAATATTCGTAAATAAACTAATAAATGAAAAAAACACTTTCCGACAAATTTTTTTAGGCGTTGTTGTAAGTGTTAAATTTTTTCAATTGTTTTTAAAAGTGATATCTAACTGAATACTCTAGCATTTTCAGTGTTAAAATATAATTATAAAAATAAATCACTTATTGTTAGATATAGTATATCGTAAATATATTATAAGAAAAATATACTTTAATTAAACAACTAGTAAACGTGTATATTGCAAATTCTGTAAATAATAATTAAGAAGTATAATTTTAATTTTTTATATAATTTTATACGTTATTTGTACGATACAGGGTGTTCGTATTAAAAAAGAATGCAGGCAGCTATCTCGCAATTTCCTCAATAAACGTAGATAAATTAATGTGAATCTCGTTTTTTCTATAGATCTATCTACCTTAGTACCCTGTATGATGCTTTTATTTGTAAAAAATGACTGAAAAAAATGTGTACTGTATTTAATATAATTAAATCGGGTTTGAACGGAAACACAAAATTTATAATAGCCCGTCCTTACATTTTTAGGGGATTGAATTCGTCACGAGAATAACGTTCGAACAAAACTTTTTGGGGTCACCAATAAAATATATCTCGTTGTGTTACAAAAATATCGCTACAATGAAAATTAGTTGAAAATAAATTAATGTTTACGCATGATTAAAATTTTTACAAATGATCTAATTATTTTCTTGTAGCGAAATTTTCGATAAAGCCCTTTGTAGATGTTTTTTTGTATATATGTATGAATATATTGCCACTAATTAACTCACTTGCCATTTTATATATTATTGGGTTAATATTAATATGGATTTTATTTTTGTATATTTTCTACAGTATTATTCTATTTTACAGTATTTATTATTATCGACGTATAATAAGTACGTTTTTTTTATTATTTTATCGTTAACAACGAATTTATTTCCGTTGCGAAAATAATAATTCTTTAAATTAAAAAATACAGAATGACACAATATTAATAAAAACCGAAATTGGATTCTGTATTAGACTGAAAAATTGAGAATTATTATTTTTGTATGTTTTTTTTTTATTTTATTAGAATTCATTTTTATTTTTTACATTCCCCATTTTGAATATCCTCTTTGTTTAAATACATGATATCTAATTGTTTGTTCCTAAGTAACGTACTTATAAAAAAATAGCTTCTCAAAGTTTTTATTTTGCCAGTATTTTCTCTGACAGCTCTTCGTGTAGTATAGAAAGAAAAACGTTTTCTTTTTTGGATGTCTTGCAAAAAAATGTTGTTTTTAATGATACGATCGATGCTGCAATTTTTAAAACGATGATAATTATCAAGCGATTGAGATAATTTTAAAAATCGCCTCATCGAATATTAACTTGTATTATATAACTGTAATATATAAACAAATGATACGCAAATTGTTTATTTTCTAAACCTAACCCAAGTATTAGCGCTGTAATTAAGTACATAATAAATAAAAGAATTAAAATCCTTGTGAAATTACCAACGTGGGATAGTACCCTACAAATATGGATTAGGATTAAAAGCGACATTGAAAAATCAACACGACTAAGCCTTATCTCGATACCAATCAAATTTGAAAGTTCATTTAATAAATTTAATATGAAGTAATTCTCGCGTGTAATCGATACATTTTTTTTAATTATTTTATACACCGTATCGTATTCCACCCACGAGCATAAAGCTGTTATTACTTCTCACTAGCTGTTTATAACCAATAGAAAAAAATATATAATTAAAATAACAATATCTGGATAGGAAAAACGAAATTAAGTTCACTGCCGATCATGACTTTTTTATCGTAATATCGGGACTCCACCGACGAGGTCATTCAGCTCGCGATAATCGCGCGTCATTTCAGCGGCCTCGGCTGATGCGGTTACTTAGTTACCAAACGAACACAGCCAAAAAAATGCTCACATTTCTGCAAATTTCGAATGAAAAGTGCGAATCATTAATTAATAAATCAACCTCGAAAGCACCTTCGAAGCACAAAAATAAAACGCCCGTTAACGTTTTATTAAAAGTTTCATCACGGCTAAAATCCGAACTTTTAATGGAAGCAACTTCATTAAAAACATTCGCCGAGGGTATTTGCATAAAATATTTAGCCAATTTCCATCGACGTCTACCGTGAAGGTTGTGATATGCCCTTTTTATTCATGGGGGATACATGTTGATACAATTTTACATTATGCTGTAGTTGTGAAAATGGTGGTGAAAATTGCAGTTTTATCGAGTCTAGATATATTAGAGAAATGGCAACATTTACAATTACTACCCTCTTAAATTTCTAGAAAACACCATGTATATTAAATTCCACATCGGAAAAAATGTCTCATGCTGGCTATCCGGAAATGATTCTCGAAAAACTAACGACCACATAACGCGGCGATAACAAGAAAAACAGTTAAAAACGCCATTAAATAAATCAAAAAGCTCTTCGATCAATTAAAGAGAATTTTGTTTTATTACAATACGCCGGTCGATGGGGGCCAGAGAGGATTTTTCGTGAAAACGGTGATTTAAATAAAATGGAATTTTGAGTGTGCCTGAAATTTTTATGGATCGATGTGTGTACTTAAAAAACCATTAGTTTAAACCGAAGAAAGTCGAATCCGAACCGATAAAGATATTTATTGCTGTCCCATCTTCGTGGACAAGGTCGATGTCTACCGTTTACAGACTTAATTATAATAGAGTGTTGTTAGAAATTAATGATTTTGTAGGAAAATGTCGATGCAATTATCCTTGAAAAGACAAAAATCTCGAAGCAAGTAAATATGTATCTCAAAAACAAAAATATGGGCAAAGACATCTTTAAAGTGACATCATTTCTATTAATATGTTAGAGAAGTCTCGCATATTCCACAAAAATCTTGATTATCTAGTAAAATAATCACACGTTTATGCATTTAAATTAGATTCGCTAGAATGTGATTCAGAAACATCCACCTAATCTGCGGCTAATTTGGTGTTCTCGATTTTTACGACTTTTATAGGAAAAAACGTAAAGATGAAACACAATGAAGAAATTTATTAACATCAAAACGAATGCAAAGTAATGCCATAAATTCCGTCGGAGTGCCCGTTTTGCGGTTAACCGTGACACTATTTTTATGTAGAGGTTTAAGGACATCTAATGATTCGTAAAACGATCCCGATTTTTACGGCTTTTTTTTATTAGATAAAACCGATTAGAAAAAATTACCGAAAACGTTATTACAATCGTAAATCACTTTTTAAAGATATTTATAACTTCCTTTGCTAACGATGTAGGTATTTAGAAAATGCAAAATTGGGTATTTTGTATGAATCCAAAAAACAATACGCAATTATTATTATGTAATAGTAAATAAATATAGATATGCATCATAATAACGAAATTCGTAATATATCAAATTCTCAATGCGTTAATAAATCTTTTCAATAATCATCATCATCATCATTCCATTAATAGAATTTCAATCGATCAAACATTATACGACTATAAAGAAACGTTAATTTACTAAACAATTATAATATTTATTGTAGTCAAGGAGGTAATCAAATTATGTATTCCCGCAGAAATAAAAAAAATACATTTATCTTGAAAGTTACTCAATTTCTTCTTTAGTTGTTTGATCTAAAGTAGATCCTTCTGTAGTTGACTCTTCGTCCTCTCCATTTTCTCACCAGCAGATTCTTCTTCATTAATTTATTCATCAGATAATTTCACTATAGTTGTTCAACAGCAGATTCTTCTTTTCGCAGTATTTTATTAACCAAAAAATTGCTCTACAACTCATTATTGATACCCAAAAACTCCTCCGGTAAATTGTTCTTCAGTTGCCTATCATCTAGAACGCCTGGTAGGTATTTCTTGTGTATATTCTAGAGGATATTCGAAATTTTCAGAAATCACCGCCACTACTACGCATCGCATTAGCAATGCAACATCGAAAATTTAACTTTCACTATTTCTGGTTTTCAGTACAAATCAGTTATATTGGCCGAGCAGTTGCGCGATTTTTTGCGGTCGACCAAATTAACCGAGCATTGTTCGCTTTCGTCCATCGATTGAAGATGAACTCGGTAAGTTATTACATTAATAAAGTTGCGTAACCGCCTCGGAAACCGTCCGGGATCCCGACTTTTCGGTTTCCACCGGAAAAAAAAAGAACCAAACTTTTCGGTACGCGGACAGCGTACGGAGTTCTATCCTTTCTGATTCTTAATCTCCATCAACCTTAACCTCGTTCGATTTAGCCGACGAATCCCGCCTTTATTTAATTTCATTTAATTCCTTGTTTTATTGTCGAGTATTTAAATATCGAATTGGTTGGGTTTTTAATGCCGCACGATTTTCGATGCGAAGGTTTCACGTTTCACTCTAGTTAAAAAATCCATGTATCCTTCAAATTAATGTACCAAGATAAATTGAAAATATCTAATTTATTGTTTCGTTTTTTATTTTTTTAGTTATTAATTGTATACACAGCTTTGCCTTTGGTATTGGGCGAAGTATTTCTAATTAAACCAGAAGAAGAAGCGCCTCTTCCTCCACCCAAACCGTACGCTTTCGGGTACGCTGCAGGAAGATTTCCTGGCAACATCGACAGGACCCATTCGGAGGTATCAGATGGAGCAGGAACAGTTCAAGGTGATCAAATTATTACTATAGGAATTTGCTCTAAGGGTAACCAAGAATCAGTTTCACCTCTAATCTCTCTTCAAATCTGTTCTAAGAGTAACCAGGAATCTGGTTCATCCCTGATCACTGCTTAAGGGTAGTCAGGTTTACCTTTGATCTCTGTTTAAGGGTAGTCAGGTTCATCTCTGATCTCTGTTTAAGGGTAATATAATCGGGTTCACCATTGATTAAAGTTTCATGGATGCAAAGTATCTGATGGGATTTGGGCGAAAATCTGGCAAGTGTTTAGGGATCTTGTTTATTTGCCATTGGGGTACTTTGTTCCGATGCGTGGTAATGCCGAAAATAGGTCGTGGCGGAGGCAAATAAAGAGCGGACGCGAAAAGTTCGGCCGCTCAAAAACTACCTAATAAAAGTCGGATGAGTTTCGAAAGGAATTGGGAGTGTCGCATAAAAGTTTTACTTTCTGTTTTGCTCGCCGAAATCGGCGGAATAAATTTTCGGAAATTCGAGGAAGCGGTATCGATGTAATAGGTGTACTCGACGAGTTTAACTTGGAATATGGATCGATAAAAATTTATTAGGAATTACAGCAGAGAAATGATGTGAAAGTTATTTGTATAAATTTGAATAATTTTGGCCGTATATCGTTATATTATAAGACCACTTACCACAACACGTTACCCACTTCGCGGCAATTAAAACTTTTATATTAAATATTATTCAATTTACTGATGGAAATTTGCGGTATAATTACAATCAAATGCAATGCACGGCGAAGAATTTATTGAAATGTAGATGCGAAATACGGAATTAATTTTCGAGAGAGGCCGCATAAAAATTCATAATCCGCAATAATGAATAGTAAAATTCAAATTTAACGAATCGAAATGGGTCGTTACATCGTCTAGAACAATAACTCGACATATATTCGGGGTGGATGTTTTTCAATAAAGTACGGCAATAACCATTAAACCTCGAAAACTTTAACATTTCGCATGTCGATGGTCATTAAAAAAAAATTGTAATTTCTCTCTGTTGTTTACATTCACAAATCTCATTCGGGCGAGGTATAATTTTCAATTAGATTAAATTCTTTTTCAAACGACGCTATGGCGTGTGTTGCGTGTTGTCGCTCCGACTTTTTATTTATGCTGTAAGTAAATACCCAACAATAAACACGTTTGTCTGGAGGGTGTTTTTATTGTTTTGATAACGATCTATGTATGGAAACGTGAAAAATTACACGCCTCAAATACTGTGACACCATCAGGAATATACCCACATGAAGCTAAATTAATTTATTATGTATTCGTTTGCTCCATTTTCGTGTATGTGTTTGCTTCACTTGCTATCGATTTGTGTAATAACGAAACTTTTAATTTTCCTAAAACATCATGTATACTTAGATATACGAGATTAGAGACTTTTATAGTGAAATGGAGGACTCTTCTCTTCATCCATGTCCTCATTCTGTGTTATTATAGTGTATAGATCTCTTCAGATCAAGAGTTAATTGTACTTCTCAAAGCTCTGAAAAAGTTTTGTACTCTTCCTTGCAGTTCATACACTAGGTTTCATCTTTCTGTTCCATAAAGATCTTCAATTAAACTGGTCCTAGTAGTTCCTAGTTTTGTTACTACATATTCTATAGATCTTCAGATCTTTGCTTATAGTGATTGACTCTTCATAGAACTCTTCCCTTATCAAAGCAGTAAAAAACTGTGTGTATAATCTGCTCTTCCTAGAAGAGCTTAACCTCAGAGCCTCATTTAGTCCAAAAGAGATCTCTTCTTCATAGCTCCTAGTTCTTGATGCTAATGCAACATTCCATTCCTCCAAAAACTAGATACCTTCAGCCTCATTCTGAGCGTACAATCCTTCTATCAATGCCTTTAAACATCCTACAGACACTCATCCCAAGATCTTCCATCCACTTGTAGACAATTCTAACTAACACACACCAACAGGTTCCTTCTCCTACGTGGACCCGAGGCACCAGATACGCACCGTCGACTACATAGCGGACAAAAACGGGTTCCATCCCGTCACCAACTACCACGTGCCCGATCTGCCGTCCGATACGCCCGCCGTGGCGGCCGCCAAGGCGAGGCACCTGCTCCGGTACGCGGCCATAGCGCACCAGCACCAGGAGGCGCCGAATCGGGCGCCGACGCCGGTCGATACGGCGGCCGTGCGGTACGCCAAGAGCAAGCACCTGGCGCTGTTCGAGAAAATAGCCGCCGAACACGCCCGGTTGGCCGCCGAGGCGGAGGCCGCGAAATCGCCGGACGGAGAGGGAGCTGCGATCGAGGCTTACAAAGGGAATTATGTGTTGTGATGAGTGTGTAAAATGATTGTTGTGCGTCGATTCGATAAAAGTATCTAGGTTTATATAATATACTTATATATTTTGCACACCATGCAACAAACAATTACTTTATATCTTATTTTACTATATGCAAATTTATAATAAGGAATGTTCATTCAAAGTTATATAGTACATGAGTGTAAATTTCATTTTTTTTATACGCAATCATTCATAATATCATTGTAATTGTAAATTAAATTTTTATACCTAAATAGCAACAAGTTTCCAGCTTGCTAATAAAAATATAACAAAAAAAAAATAAACGATTATTTGTTGTAAATAAAAAAATATGACCAAAATAAAATTAACTAAAGAAAAATTGTAAACACCTCAATCACACACATAAACCGTTAAAAATTTCCCAATTAGAATTCAAATTCGATAACTACCAGAACCTACAGTTATTTTTTCAAAATTCGCGCCATGTCTTTGTTTTGTCTGGTAATCGTAATGTCGGCCAATTCGGCTTTATCGGTGATATTACCTATGAGGTCGTTTTGGGAATCTATTTCCGTTCCCAACTCGGACGCCAGACCTTTCAAACGGGTTATGTTGCTGCACATTTCCTGCAAATTGGCGTCGAGGCGAGCGCTGAAATCTTTGCTCCCCGAAGATGAATGATTGACTTCGTCGTAGCCCCTTTCTCGGAGCCTCGTCGCAGGGTGATTATCGTACCTGTCGTACGTCGAGAGCTTCTCTTCCAAATTCTGATTCGACGTAGATTGCTGTGACATAATTTAACAGGTATACACTTTGCATTCAATGTGTATTTGAACTTACTTTTACAGTGCTAGGTGTCGAACTCGATGTGGTGGAATTAGGCGAATCGCTTCGACCGGCCATGTAATTTTTCAAGCTGCTAAACACCGATTTAATACCGTTTATGTGTTTCTGGGAGAATCTTAGTGTGGAGTTAATCTCATCCAATTGCTTATCAGTTTTTTCTAGTTTTTCGCGTTGCCTCGACAATTCTTCCGCAGTGGCTATACCGATTTGCTCCGAGTCCCGCAAAATACTTATGCTCCTCTCGGTACTAGTCACAGTGCGTTCTTCTATCGCCCTTTTCTTCTCAGCGAACGACTGCATTTGGTCCTCAAAAGTAGGCTGTGCATTATTAGTGCTAGGAGGTGGCCTTCTCGAATTTCGCAAAAATGTCTCGTCGTCCACGTCCTCCTCTTCGAACGGATTATTCGATCTGTTGTAATTGTACCCAGACATTTTTGTATTTTTTAATGCTACTACACCTAATAATTTCGTTAATTTTAGTTAGTAATTTGTGTTACTTATTTATTAAAGAATACAAAAATATGTGACGTATGACAGTTTGACGTATTCAACCTACTCTTCTTTTTACTGTACAAAATGTAACTGATTGACTTAAAAAAAAGAGACTCCCAACTCCCAATAATTCTTTAGTCGATCTGTCAATTGTCATAATCGTCAAAAGTCAAAATACGAAGCCGTTTATAAACAAAAACGTATATTGAACGTAAATAATTAATCTGCAATAATACCAGCAATCGTGCAGTTTTTTATTAATTTTAGTTAACAACTAAAATTCGGACATTCCAAAATGTCTATCGGCGTACCTATTAAGGTTCTCCACGAAGCCGAAGGCCATATAATAACCTGCGAAACTATAACCGGCGAAGTTTACAGGGGTAAACTTATAGAAGCCGAGGATAATATGAATTGCCAAATGACTCAAATAACGGTAACGTACAGAGACGGGCGGGTGGCGCAATTAGAAAACGTTTACATTAGAGGTTCCAAAATAAGGTTTTTGATATTACCGGATATGTTAAAGAACGCTCCGATGTTTAAAAAACAAACCAAAGCCGGGACTGCTGGTAGAGGGAAATCTGCTATTCTACGAGCTCAAGGTAAATGTTTGCTATTTAGATTAATAATCGAAACTTTATCGATTAAATTTGTTTGTTTTGCAGCACGGGGAAGAGGCCGAGGGCAACCTCCTGTGCGAGGAGGCAGAGGTGCTTGGCAGAATCAGCAGAATGCCCCTGCAGGTCGAGCAAAATAATCTTCTGACCAATAAACATTACTATTATTGTCAGTGTAAATACGTTTGAGAACTTCTTTTGAAAGTACCCTAGTTTTTAAGGACTCTGAAGGACGGTTAAGATTTAATCAAGGATTAAATAATGATTAATTTAAAACAATAAAAGATTCTTTTGTATTTGACTACCTATAATTTGAAACCTGTATGTATTGCTACCACACCCAGCACCAAGTTTTCATACGTAACTTGCCTGAAACCGGCCTCCTCGATCATTAATTTAAAGTTTTCCTACAAACATAAAAATTATCCCAATTCCACTTGGCTAATAATATTCGAGTTACCTGCGTGGGAAATTGCCGTATACTTTCTACTAAATATTGATAAGAATTCCAATCTCCTGCTAATATCTGTCCCATTACCGGTACTACTTGAAAACTATATTTATCGTACAACCTACAAATAAATATTTTAGCACGAATAATTGGGTTAATTAGCTTTTACCATTGAAAATAAGGATAATGAACGTGACTGAATTCCATGCACATGAACCTTCCTCCAGGTTTAAGAACCCTGTAGGCCTCTGATAATACTTTGTCGATATATGTGCAATTTCGAATACCAAATGCTATTGTGTAGGCATCGAATGAATCATCTTCGAGATCCAATTGTTCCGCATTGCCTTCTTTCCAGGCAATCATATTAGGATCGTGCTTGAGCGCTTTGCTTCTCTGCTGTCCCACATCTAACATATGAGGGTTGATGTCGAGGACTGTAACGTGGCAATTTTTCAGGTTTTCGTTCTTCACGTAATTCAAAAACCTGAATGATATGTCCCCTAAAATAAAGCAAAAGTGAATACGCGGTCGAATTGTAGTGGCCTAAGTTTACCCGTTCCACCAGCCACGTCTAATAGTTTCGTGTTATCAGTGGGTGACAAGCTCAACATGAAATAGTCCTTCCAGAATCGGTGGATTCCCATCGACATGGCATCGTTCATTAAATCATACTTGTTGGCTACATTTTCGAATACTTCGTAAACTGAAATAATAATATAAATATATTTAAGTATATTAAGTAAGTAGTATACCTTTCTTATGTTTTTCACTCGCTTTAACAGTTTGAAATCCAAAGTGGGTGTCCTTGTCGTTGTTCTCAGTAGTCGCTTCATGAGCTAGATATCTTGTATTAAAAGGCACAAATTTTCTATCCAAAAGCCTGGTGAACAATCTATTAACTTTATTCCAAGATACTGCCATCGTTTCAAATTCGATCTAATAAAAAAATAAATTAATTCCAGTAATATGCCGTGAAACTTTTATTTACTTACACCTTGACTCTTAAAGCATTACAGATAAAATAATTCACACGCAAAACTTGTTAGTAATTACTATAATAACACATTTTTTAAATTCAAATTAGATATAAAAAATATTTTTCTTAATTTGACATTTTTGACAAGTGACATTTAACAAATTCTTCTTTTTCTTACAAATATAAAAATTGTTGGCCATAAAACCACTTAGTAAGAGGCAATTCAAATTTGAAGTATACAAAATCTAACCTCAAAATTTTCATATTTTTGAACAGCAAAGCAATGACAACAAAAGAGCCCTGTTTGTGCCTCCCCGGGCAGCGGCTTTGCCTCTCGGACAAAACATACACAGCCGGACAAGGCACGTACGAAAGACAGGGCTACATATATTCTCAGCTCGCGGGTTGCGTGGACATAGTGGACAAAGACAATATAAAAGTGGTCGAAGTGCACACTACCGGTGAGCAAACCGTGATCCCAGCGCAGGGGGACATCGTAACGGCCCAAGTTTCCGTTATAACCCAACAATACGCCAAGTGTTTCATAAAATGCGTGGGTGAAACCGTCCTGAGGCGGCCCTTTCGAGCTGTGCTACGCAGAGAAGACATTAGAGCGACGGAGAAGGATAGAGTTGAGATTTACAAATGCGTGCGACCCGGCGACATTATCTTAGCGAGAGTGGTACTAATTTTCATATCCATTTTGTAATTTTCGAATTTATTAAAGTGATATTTTCAGCTACCGATCACAGAGGCCCATACTTATCACTTGACTACGGCGGAGAACGAACTCGGTGTTGTGATAGCGCATTCAGAAGCGGGACATCCGATGGTACCGATTAGCTGGACTGACATGCAGTGTACGAAAACCTTCGCAAAGGAGCCCCGAAAAGTGGCCAAAGTCGTACCGGAACATTTCAACGCGCCTTCGGAGACTCTTAAACCATAACTAAAATTGTTCTTTTAAATAATTAACTTGTAAATAAAAACAATTATTTTTTAACACATCGATACGAGTCGAATTGATTGAGAATAGCTTTTTATTCAAGTAAATATACACAGAAAAGTTTATTATCTAAGTTGATAAAGAACTAGGCTATCATTTATTACACTTAATAAGTAATGGTACAATGAATAAATATTATATTTCATCTAATGAGAAGGTTTTAATAATTACTGGATAACATTGCTCAATAACGATTCAATAACTATGTGCAAGCATAAATAGACAGACGACAAAAGACACCAGATGCAATTCAGAAATATTTTTTTGAAAATATCACAGAAATACTTAATTGATCACAAACGTATATTGGGTTTAAATAAACCGAAACCCACATTCAGATATAACACAATAAAATCACAATCTCGTCAAATGTTTAAAAGTTCCACAAAATAAGCTCAACACACTTGCAAAATGACTTAAGTACTATCAAACACAAGTAATATTCAAATATTTTAATTTTAACAATTTTATAATGCAATCGGCTATTTCCAAATTATTATCTACGCTTTATATTTCAACATTTCCTTCACCGGATGAATCCGTCTCGAATCGAACACCTTTTTGCAACGCTGGTTTTTATGCCGGTTCTATTTACACTTGCATACGGTTCGTTTAACAGTGAAAAGATTAACAAAATTCTCTTATATATCGACGGAAGAAGAATCGCTTCCGAAAGATATGGCAATAATCGAGACGATTTATATACAAAACAAGTATGGCCCAAAGTCGAGAAACAAAACAGTGATTGATTATAAATTAAAGATAACAGTGTGGTTCGTGCCATACGAAAGCATCAGCAGATATAGGTCAATTCCCAGATTAATTTAATTTGTTTGCCTGCGAAATTTCGTAATTCGATGCATTTATACGTGTACTCTCCTCATACTGGGGTAATTAATAAGTATCAAGAACAAATGTTAATTGTACTGATGTCGTGAATGAGTATACTTCGTTGATATTGTATGCCGTTTGTAAATATATCAAAAAATGTGTAAATGAAACGCTAAGCTATTACGTGTGTATAAACATCTAAGTTTTTTTTAGTTATATATCTAAGAAATCGGCCGAAAATCGAAAAACCGAAACGTCCAGGAACTGATCTAATGTGCACAAAACCAAACTTAATTATTATAAATACTGAACGATTCGAATAAATAAGTGCAATTTAGGTACCATTGCACGTTTTATTTCAAAAGACAACTCGTTTGCTTAAGACGCCTATTTTATTAGTTCTTAAACAATGAAATAATTAGACATTCTTTCTATAATTCACAATTGTTTAATAAAAATAACGTTCGACTCTATTCTGTAAATACACAATCTATGTATGTAAGAGTATCGGTCTCTAATCACACGCGAGAGTTGCACAGGAAGAACAACGATTAAATACAATGAAAAATATAAAGTGATTACGATCAAATTATAGAAAGCATGCCGAGCAGGTTTGGACTTAAATAAATAACGTTAAAAAAATCACTTTTCGGACGAAAATAATTAAATAAACAATGCGATAATTTGACTAGGTCAAAGTAGAAACTCTCCCTTGTCCGATGCGGATTCGCGGCCCCGCACTTATCAATTTTTAAGTCGATCAAATTCCACTCGTTTACTTTAGATCTGGAAACAAAATGATTATTAAAATAAAAATCTAATTTAACATAGTAAATAAAACAAAACCAAAAAAAAAATGGCTGGAATGCAATTCCATTTTGTTTCCGAAAAAATTAGGAAAAAAATCAAAAATAGCGTTACTCTACTTTTAAGAATGTTATTCAGTAAATTATTGGGTATATATCATCGTTATGTATATTAATTAACAATTCCTTTATAATGGAAAAACTCGAATATCAAACAAAGTCAAAAATACACCGGCACGTTACTCGATTCACTGCTAGTAGCCTTTCCATTTATTGTTTGCTGAATAAATCTAAAAGTACAAAAAAAAACACAGAGAATAAACTAATAACCAACACAGCAAATTTCACATGAAAAAATTAAACAGCGCACCAAATAACAGTTATTTTGTAACAGTCGTTCCAGCACCTCTACATACACAAAAAAATCGTTCCCACCTCTATTAACTTCTGTCATACGAAAAATCGTTAATGTCAATTTTGACGTTTCAAGTATCATCGAACGCATCTTAAAAACCCACCTATTCCCGAACGACGTAAAAAAAGGGAGCTAATCGAAGGACGTACCTGGCGTGTAGACGGGCACTTCTCCTTGATTGAGGGCGGCGCTCTCGCCCATGTAGGGCGGCGGCGGCATGGCGTAGACGGGGGCGTTCTGGCTCCTGTTGGGCGACGGCTGGTTGGTTATGGGCGATGAGTCGCCCATGCCGAGGTCGGATCCGTCGTCCTGAAACAGGAATTCGTTTGAAGGATCGCTCGTCCGATGGTAATGCTTTAACGTAACTTTGGATCCGAGGTATGTATATTAAAACGCTATTAAAGGCGTCGAATGATCCGAAAAAATAAAAGGATATACGGGGGGGTTTTTATGAAATATTACTTTTATTCTGCTTGGGAATTATGCTACATATATTATATTGTAAAATTGAGATATTTTTTAACAAATGTCATAAGGAATTTCCTCTGCTTAGAAAAACTCGTGATAATTCGGAGTCCTACAAGAAAACCGGTAAAAATTCGATTAAACATTTCATGTAATAGTAGGGTGAATATTGTAACTTAGTGGCCTAGATATAATGAGGTAAAAGCTTCTGTTATTTTATAATCTTTTACACCTTAAGGGTATCAATAACATTACAATATTCCCCCTGCTAAGCCAATAATTTCGTTTCCTATACAGCGAAATTTTATTCAATTTTCAGACGAACTAAGCGAACTTTTAAATCAGCAAATCCAATGTTATATCTAATTAAAGCAAGGTCGGCAGATAATACCGTCGATAAAAAGCACGGAAACCCCGACAATACGTTTTTCGCGAGAGAAAAACACACAAAGGAGTTTTTCCATTTTATTACAAAACACGTTGAATGTTAAATGAAAAAAACGTTTGTCAATTTTCCTGCATGTTATATTTTTTTAAACCTAGAATTTATGCTCATATAAACAATTTCATGCAAATATATCGATCGCATGCATGATCTGATCGCAATGATTTTTGAGTAAAATGATTACATAATCAAATTTAGTTCTGCGAAATTTCTCTTCTGAATAAGTCGTTAGAAATCCTTCATTATATTCATGAGATTCTCAAGAAATCAATAGCAAACGGAGATTTAATCGCAGAAGAAAATTTAACAAACGAAAATAAAATAATCAAGAACGTCCAAAACGAGGATATTTATGTACAAAAATAATGTAAATTGATCGTCTGATACTTACCCTTTTACCTGGTTGTGTGGTATGAACATTCTGGTGTGCCGTACTGGGGCCCTGATCTCGCTGAAAACATCACTACATGTCAGAACCACTAACCAAAAAAAAAACGTGAAGAACAGAAAAAAAATCAAATAAAAAAAATGTGCCCAACACCTAAGAGAACGCCCAGAGGAATGTCTATCATCTTTATTCGTGTCGCGAGATGATTTTAATAGAATTAAATACGAAAAAATGGAACCAAACAAAGTGAAGTATGAAAACAATTTAAATTGTGGGAATGCGAATGAGGCATGAAATCTTACCTGAAATTCATTGGAGCTTCTTTTATTGCGGAAAGTTCCAAAGTGCAAACTTACCTTGCGTTATTAGTATGTATTAATAATAAAAACCAAGCAAACGATTCAAATTAGCTTGTATAATACTTCGAAATATCGGCTCCACATTATACAAACTAACCCAAACCATTAATTTATAAACAAAACTAAGCTCAAAACCGAGGCATGTTCGTTAAGAAAACAGTATTAAAAAGAAAGCTTGTGCACAGGAGAGATGTTAAAGGACATTCGCGCTCGCTAGGCAATGACGTCATTTTTAGACTACGTCATTAATTTCCACGCAGTTCAACATTTCCCTAGTGTCAATGTTAATTGCAGCCTAATGCATTTCTTCTTTTTAATTTCTAAACGATCAAAGTAAACATAACCTTTAAATTAAACATATCTGTCACATCAAGATTTTCATTTCAACCCGGCAACGTTGCAACAGGTTGGCTCGTGACGTCATCGCCTAGCGAGCGCGAATGTCCTTTAGAGTAAAATTAAATAAACAAACCGAAAAAAAACAAAACCACCTTATTTAATACTCACGTTTAACGTATGATAATCTCCGGTGTCCTCGGGCGGTCTCGGCTTGCATTTGCCGCAGCAGAAATTACAACAGCAGCACAAACAGCAACCGCAGTAACAGCATGTCACGATGCCGCACACGAAAAACAACGCCTGCAAAATAGTCGAGAAAGAAACGGTTAAAATAACGAGCAATTCGGATTATAAAGCATTGTATGGGGACGATATAATTATATATGAATACCTCGTTACAACCGTTCGAAACGAATCTACAACAGGCCGATACGCATTTGGCTAGAACGGGGTGAAACATGTCGATTATAATTTGTAATAATTCGATTTGAAATAAAAATTAATTGGTTTAATAAACGTTCACGTTCGCATCTCTGGTGTCGTGTAGTTGGAATAGCTTTAAAATGGGCTATATAGATAGATTTTTATTGATATTTAATTTAATATCGCATTAGAGAGTAATTAATTTTTTTAACGAAATCGATGAATTACATTTTTTTACTTATTAGTTTCCCATTATCGTTAAATGATCGTATAATTAGAGGAATGTAATTTTAATATCAAAATGATAATAGAAGAATCTTCAGTTCTTTCTTTACTTAATATATTTCAAAAAATGCTACAAATTTTTCGTACACACCCTGTATATTTATAATATTTGTAACCGAAAATGACGGATTAATGAAAATTAATTTACCTGACAATTTAGGGATACACTATTGTAATAGTAAATCCAAATCAACGGATTAAAATTGTTCACCATTATGTTTCCACATTTTAATTCGAAATGAAGGCCAATTTTTAGTTCAATTTAATCGCGTTTTCAACTTATTGCATAAATTTAAATAAAAAAGATAATATTAATCTCAATGTTTTTCTATAAACAATCGAGTTCCCAACAAAGTGGGTTTTTATTAACAAATTATACAGGGCGTCCCGTTATGAAAATACGATTATTTTGTAATAATAAATTATAGAAGACCGTTTAGTGTGGATTTTCTAATTAAATAAACATTGATTTCTTGAAATTAACGATTTTGTAATGGTATATTAATAATTAACGGAAGTTGACAAATTAAAAATAACCATTTCTGTAGATAAAACCAATTAAAGTAACATTAATTATTACATAACGAGTAGTGTTAACAAAAAAATTAATTAAGAAACTACTGCAAAGGCATATGGAGAAAATGCATAGAAAATTAATCCGGTTAATTCAAATATTTCAACGAAATAAATTTCACAGAAGCCGATACACAATAAACTTGAAATAACCACGAAAAATTATATTCATTTTAGACTGCATTTGATTTACGCGACAATATTTAATTACATAGTTCAGTTTTCCTGGCAGGCGCTGAAATTTTAATTAAAAATTTGGTTTTCGAAAGCCTTGAAAACGCCCGGCGTATCGAAAATTAATTATTAATTACTTATTAAGTCCCTTTGGGCTTATCGCGGTTCGCGTGATATTCTAATTTCCAATTGAATTTCAAGTATAAATTAACATTAGTTTTCACTGCGATACGAAAAACTATTTATTTTTATGTTATCAAAAAATACTTAACCAAAGATGAATGAACAATCGTCGATAATCCCATTACGAGGATCACATACTAAAGCAAATATCTTAAATATCACAAAAACTGTGCTCGTCAACAGGTAAATAGAATTATCCTTGAAAAATCTACCAAAATGATACACCTCAAACACTCAATCAGTAATAATTTGCCCAATTAAACAAAACGAAACTCGCATAAATCTAGTATAAACAAAATTACTAACTAAAAAAACTACTCGAAAAATCAGTTTTTCTTCAACAGAATCTGTCTCCGATACACCAAGAATGTATAAACCCGAGGATCGCTCATGATACATCACCAATGACGTCACTGGAAAAAAAAATATCAATCTCACCTTACACCAAGTAGAGGTGACTACGAAGTAGGCGTTGACGTTCTCCTCGCCGAATTGCTCGGCAATGTAGAGGCCCAACGAGCCGTAATTGTCGTATATATTCCGTTTGGTGGGATCGTTGAGTATGGAATGGGCCCTGTTCACCTCCTTGAATTTCTCGGCCGCGTCCGGATTGTTCGGGTTCTTGTCCGGATGGTATTTAAGTGCTAAGCGCCGATAAGTCTTTTTTATTTCATCACTGGTCGCCGTTTTCGGTAGCGATAGTACCTCGTATAGAGAATCGCCCTGTGTTCTAAAAAAAGATATTTTTTTAAAAAAAATATGGGACAACCTGTAATTACACATTTTATAATAATTATAATGGACTGACTAAGCACTTATATCGGAGTAAATTAATTACAGTATAATGAAGCACATGAGAATTCTTGAAATAACTAAAGTGCTCCTGGGTTTATTGAAGAAACTATAATGAATTTAGATTTCTGTTGTAAATGTAAGCCTAACAAGGATAAGAATCCTTGTAATAAGTACTTGTTCGTTAAAGCAGCCTCATTAGGATTGCCCTAGTTTTATTTTGAGTCGTATTTTGATAAAAATCTGCTTCGAATGCTTCTTTCAAGATTTTTCCCAAACTTTGTGTTAATAAAAAATTCTAATAATTTTATTGTTATTTAAAAATACATTCGTTTCTCTTTACATTCAACTGTGGCATTCAATCCAACGGACTTTCATTACATTGTGTGCATATTTTCACCTACTTATACCATTTAAAATGTTGTAGTAGTTCAAATGAAATAAATCCAAACATTTCGAAAACCTACCCGTAAGAATATCTCGTTTAACAAGTCATAATTACATTATCTACATTACTTACCTTTATCTAAAATGCCATAATAGCGCAATTTAAAGGAATGAGTAATTACTTAAATAATAATGGTTAAATATTGCGAAAATAAACAAAATGTGCAAATTAGGTAATGACATAACAATTTGAAATTTACACCAAAGGAAGCTTGTAAGGACGGTAAATAATAATTAAAAATCAACGAAATGGTGTGTTAATTACTGCACTGAGCAAATATTATGCTAGATATTTGTAAAATTTTCTGTAAGTACATAGTAGACTTTATCGATAAATTAAATAATATCTGATTTATGATCTGGATTTATGATCTGATTTATGATTTATGATCTCTAAATTCTAAGAATTTAGATGAAATCACAAATTTGTTATATATATAATAATAATATAAGTAACAAATAAGATTGTGTTGATCTAGATTAACTGTGATTATCGGTTTTAACTAGCTATGCTGTAGATATTTTATTAAGTGGTTTTAACCAGTGTAATTTTCAATATGAATATACACCCAATTCCACAATTTTATTTCGAATATCCAAATTATTATTCTTACACCTACACTGCACGTTCAATTGTAGCTAGCAAATAACAGAAATTTGTACACAAATGATGCATTGAAAATAATAAAAATACAATAGATTAGTGTATTGATAAACATTGTGAAAAATCAATTAACCAAGCCACAAAAATAACAAAACAAAACTAACGAATATCGGTTATATACAAACAAACAATTATTTCCTGGTTAGTTAAAATCGTTTCGAAACAACTAGGATACTCCAAAGGATTCGATAGAACACCCAAACAGCTTGAGATTACTTACGATAATTTCCTTTTTGCATCCATTTTGTGCTTGCTTTTGGTTTGTCCTCTTGATGTACGTGCAATGTTATAATACGATTCTCATACTAACACATAATTTCAAATAATATTAATTATTATTTCTGTTAGACGACATTTTTGTAAAAATACCGCATACGATTTTTCTCGGAAATGTCAATACAACACCAACACGGACGTTCGATGAAACGAGTAATAGTTATTTCAGGGTTGCCAACCTTGAGTTAGATGCATACTAAATTCCACTAAAATGTCACTAAGATTTTTATTAGGATTTTTTTATTTCAATTAGGTAAATATAGAAGAATGTTAATTGTAATTAAATAAAGAACAATCGTATATTGTTTGATTCCGAAGAATCATTCTGCTGTTGTTAATTCGTAAATTTGACCTTACTGATGATGTTATCTAGCTACCTAACAGTAGACCAAGTGCCCAATTGTTAAAAAGAAGAAAGTATAAGAATCGTTGCGCTATTGCCATGTTTGCTACCAATTCTGCAGAAATGGGATAATTGAATAAATAAAAAGCTCGACTACATTTTTTATAAATTTATTTTTTTGTAACCGATAATGTTTTAAAATAACATCTCGATATATAAATAATAAAGTGTGTTTTAGCATGTCCAGAGACAGCAAATCCATGGTGATTGGTGAAATTTTTCTGTTACCAAACTATACCATCCTAAACTTTTTTTTTTAATAAAACAATAGATTTACCAAAAACCATACTGTTATATCAATGCCCAGAATGAATTTGAATGTTTAAACATTAGATAATACTGACGAAAAAGTAATAACACAAGCAAGTAAAGGATATTTGCGTTAGAGTAAGGAATTATCATGAAATTTATTGAATGTGCAATTGTTTATATTAATTATTACTTATTAGAATGTATTTGATTGCATTTTAATAGATGAACGTGCATTGGTTTATTTAAAATATCGGAAAAAGTAAGATTTTTCAAAGTGCAACACCGCACACATCCTTCACGAGATTAATAAATAAATGGACATTGTTATAAACGCAATTTTAAGTAAAACTTTCCTACTTAAATAACATCTAGTTTTACCAATGAATTTTTCTTATGTCAAACACGATACCTTAATCTATGTTATTTAATTTGTGTATTAGTTTTATCACTAGCACTTTTATCTACTTAAAGTAGCTAACATAAATTGTTCGACATTGAATTAAAATAGTTAAATAAATTATGAATATTATACAGTTTCCTTTTTGTTTAACATAATAAAGCTATATTTTTCCAATACATTTTTTTTGAGTTATATCTAAAATCGTAATGAATTTCCTTACACGCTTAACAGGTGTTTCAAAAATGAATTATATTTTAAATTCACGAAATTAATTGTGTTGAAAGCAAAAGAAATTTTTGAAACACTCTGTACATTCCTTAAAAAAATAGCCTCTACCGTATCGAATCATAACACCCTGTATAATTACTATTAACTTATCACAGTTGGTACGAATGATAAAACTCATACACGATTACAGCCAGTTTCTATTTATGTTTGCAGAGATTAAACATAAATAGAATTCTACAAGTTTCTATGAATAAATCCACTTTTTTAAAATAATAAACTTTGAAAAGTACAATTCTTTTCAAGAACAAACGTAAACCAAGTGAAAACGATCATGGATGGCAGATTATTTCGTACTTTTAAAAGTTCCATTAGATTTATCTGGAATTCGATCTTCGATTTTTACCTTCGGTAAATTGAGGAGAAGAGTGCGGGAAAAACAGTGAACGTTTTTGTATTTTTAGATTTTCGAAAATAAATTGTAATTGACTCAATTAATTGGACGAAAGTGAATAAGTAAAAATCATCGGATAAAAATCGAAAATGTCGCCTTTAGGTAAATGGCCTGCATTTAACTCTTTGAAAGTTCCAGTACATACATAAACTTTCTGCAACATTAATTAATTTTCATAATATTCATATAATTTATATCACTAAAAAGCTATATTTTTTTGTCGAAATTTATCTCTTAGAAAAAATTCAAAAACGAAAATTCCAATACCACTCCACAAAATTCTAAATAACAGGAACACTCCTTTCGAATCCATCAGGCTTACTAGTTGTACTGAGACATCGAAAGGAAATGATGCAATTACAAATTGAATGATAAATAATTCCTGCACCATTTCCTTTGCGAATATTTTGGAAGGACCGTAGAAAACAAAGTGTTCCCGCAAGACTTACCAAACGAGGTTCAGGTTTGCGTATATCTAACAAAAATCTAGCAATTTTCGAAATACTGCGTTTTATTTCCTACACAAGAGCAATTCTAGCGCAGGAGTGGCATCGAATTTGTAAAGTACACCAATTAAAAACTACATGTAGGTAAAGTTCAAGTTATTCCCTTCTCTTAGAGGGGAATAAATGTAGAGTTTATAAACATTTCAATCGGTTTACCCATTGCAACTTTACCTACACACGAAAACTTAAATTGACTAGTTCTACAAAAATAAAAAATAAACAAATTTAAAGGCAGATAAAAATAATCCGTCGACGATAAAACGATTGATAACTTTGCGTAATTCCAAATTTCGATAACAAAATAGAAAAGTAGTGTTCGTTTTTCAAACAAAAACAACATTAAGAATTTTCTAATCACAATGTTTTTCATAGAATGTACATATTAATTCTGAGCTATACCCGTGAAAATAGGATCACTATCTCCAAGTCCGACACTCATTTTATGCGGGCACCACCTTCAGAGCATATTATACCTTATTATGAATGTTCGATTGCAACTAAATACCGTTCGAGATTCGAAAACCATCCGAAAATTCCATAAATTCTGCCGCAATATAAATTTCACCACAATCTTAAATTTATAGTATCGATGTTTGTTGCAAGTTCAATCGAGTGGTGGTTTCGATTTAATAATAAAAAATATATTGTCTAGTAGAACTTACTAAGCACTTGTTTTGGCAGTGAATTGATGATAAAATTATCGAACCTGTTTTATAAGATTACGTTGAAGTAAGATTTATTTTCTGATGCCAACTTGCATTGACTGAAATTCTATTACATTTTTTTATTAGGAAAAAAATGGGTACTCTCGAGATAAAAATTTCTAGGTACTTTGAACAAGGTTATTTCAGATTTAAGAAACTTAAAACTTTGAGTTCAATAAAGTCTCTTAACTCTAAACGCCCTGTACAATGTTGTTTTTGAATAATTTTGGCATCAAAAAGACAAATTTACAATTGGAACTTTTTCATGCAAATTTTACTATCGTAAAAACGTGTGACTGAAATACAACCAGAAAAAGTCCTTAAATTGCTAAAAGCGCCTTTTGAAACATCAAAAAATTAATTGTCAATACAATAAAATATATTTCAACAGTTTTGTTTTTAAGATAAAATAATCACAGAAGAGTTAACAATGTAATACGCAGCCGCAATATATAAATAATCACAAGAAAAAAAAAGTGGTGCCCCTCAAACCTTTGAAAATAAATTACATCTTTTGAATAAACTGTAGTTTCCATATTGTGATTTTTAGAATAGGCAAATGCATAAACTATAAATATGGCAGTTGGCATCTTGATTAATTGCTTTTTATTCTGTTTGTGAGTGATTTTCAAACTACATTTTTTCAAAATGTATTCACTTAATTAAAAATTATATTTACACCAATAAAAAATATAAAAATACAATTTCAGAAGGTCCATAATTAAGAGATTAACTGTCAATTTATAAAAATAATTTAACATAACGTAACTAAATAAATAAATTAATAGAGAATATAAATGTTCGTGCTACAATAGAATAAATAAAAAAAAAACAACAGGCATTTGATATGCTTTAGATGCTTGCCTACTGTTTATTCAAAAGAACAGAACATCACTATCATAACAACTTAAAAACAACTAAATAAATAATTTAGTATTATTTTGTAACATATAATAGAGAATCTAACATTTATAGTGTTCATAACACTGCACAAAAAAACCAACTCCATGAAACTGATCAATATTTTAAACAGTCGTCGATTTCTCAGCCTGACATTTAAAAAAAAATCACACGTTTGTAATCAATTGAAAAAGGGGAAATTTCGGTGTAACGGTTAAAAAATCGACTTCTGTACCTATCCAATTTTTTAATTTGTTATATTAATAAATCTAATAGTCTAAAATGGCCAACTAGCCTACTTTAAACTTGTCCCGGTATCTTGTTGGGTATTATTGCCAACCTGAAAATATTATATCCATTATTAATTGAGTATAAATTGTAGCGATATTCTCACTCTCTCAATCAACAGTATTCAGTAGTTATTTAAAAGAAAATAAAAGATTCAAAAAGTAAGAAGTTTAGTCGATATGTAATCAGGGCCGGATTTACCTAACTATACTTCATTTTAGAGCATCAAAATCAAGGTACATTGGACCTCTCTTCATCTAAATCCGGCCCTCTACATAACCGGTATTCGCAACCTCTGGGGTTAAATTATTTCAATAGTAATATAGAGAACTTACCAAAGGATGTGGCTGATCTTGGGAAGAGATGCCTCCACCAGAACCTTGAGATGGCTGCTTAATTTTGTCACAATAATCACTTAATATATCTCTGAAACGTTGCCAACTCTTTTCAGGTACAGTAATAGCTGCTCGGAAATTAGACTTAACTTCGGAGATGCGCATGTACACGCCGCGATTGTTTTGCCCTAAAAAAAAAAAATAAACAACCGTGTTCGATCGACCAAACTTTCCCATCGAACAATTTCAAAAAAAAACTCACCTATGTCGAAATAGAAATTTTTGTTATCGACGTGCATGTGCCTGCCCTCCGGCAAATCGGGTTTGTAAGCGTGCTCGTCGGTGTTGAATTCGTCCAGCAAATCAGTCAAAGCGTCCCTAAATTCGATCATACCCTGAGCGGGAATGGCCACCTGACTGCGGGGCCCGCCTCTCGTTATCATCTGGGACACCCGCAGGAATCGACCTCGAGAATTCTCCTTCAGATCCAAATAATACCGACGGTTGTCCTTGATCATCATCTCGCTCTTCAGCTTGCCGTCCTCGGGCACGCTATCGGGATTCGGGGGTCCTACGGGCACAACACGTTTCGTAATATAAATTCGTAGACTGTTAAGTGGACTTACCAAGAGAGGAATAGAAGTCGCTAAAGGTGGATAGATGGTCTCGAAATTCCGCGGCGGTTGACAGAGCGAGGAATATTTGGGAACGACGACCGTCGGCGCCGATCTAGCACAAAATCAATTTAATTATCTCTTGCCTTTGTACGCAACCGGTTATAATACCTCGGCGACTTTAATGAACCGTCCCCTTCTGTTCTGTTTGACGTCTAAGTAGAACCGTTTGCTTTGGATCTGCAACATTTTGGTCGCCAATTCCTGCTCGACCTGCTGCTGGCCTAAAATAACAATAGAAATTATTAAAATTAATCGAGATTGATGAATGATGAACGCACTAGGATCGTGCCAATATTGGATTCTTCCAAAAATCCAATCGTTTGATAGCATTTTTGTCGGGAAGCGTTTAGGAACTCGACCGGCAAAGGAATTGGTTCAACTAGTTATGAATCATGGATCAGAATTCTGTAGTAGAAGTTACTATGAAATTCTTGGAATCCAATGAGTCATCGAGCGAGATCTCCATTCATAAATACATTTTGTTTGATAAGTTTTAAATGTGCGTCGTGATGTCATAGGAGAGATTTTTCGTAACGAAAACGTTGATTTAATTTGGTAAAATTAAATAAAATAATAATTGCTTACCTGAATCATATTCGCTTCCCTGCTCCATGCCCTGGTGATATTCTGTAAATACGAGAAAATTGTTATTGACACGTTTTAGTTGATATTAATCGAGATTTCTTTCATAATAGGCGATAAAATTCTTATTAAGTAGTATTAAAAGTGGTAAAATTTTATAAAAATTGATCAAAAAACATCGAATTGCTCTATAAGGTTCATTTTCCACTAAACTGACGTTTCGTTGGAGTAAAAGGCAACCGAATCGACGTTGGCCAAGGTCATTATTCGACTACGACAATATTTAACTTATGCGGGTCTTTTGCGGTAATTTTGACATACTTCATGACCCAGTTCGGCGAAAATTCACTTAAAACACTAACAATTAAAAAATCAGCCGGCGCTTCAACGCGATTCGTACATACAACGATTTATTTGAATATATTTTCGTCGGGTTTTTAAAGAGAACAATCCTGATCGCCATTTTGGACGACTTGTCAAAATCACAAAGAAAATTTCGCGTACAGGCGCTATTCCTCGGCGATGCCCTCTCGCCTATTAACAACAAAGAACCCGAAGTTGCTAATAAAAAGGAATTTTACAATTAAAATAACTCACTTTGCGAACTTGAACCTTCATCACCACTTCCTATATCCGACATCGCAACCCAACACACACACAACCTTCACTATTTGGGAAAACATGAAATGTTACTAAATTTCTGACATTTCTGACTGATGACGGTTGAATCAAATCCAGAGCCGTCGCAACGCGATAATTTCGCGCATTTTTTTTACCAAATTCAAATATTTATTTCCTTAACCCATTGAAATTTAATCTATCTGTAATAAAATTCACAAAAAAAGTTTACTGAAAAAACACTTTCCGTTATTTCTACATAAAAAAATTTAGTAACATATTAGCCAACATTACTATTACCAACTTTAAACAAAAGTTCCCAGTTTTTTTCCAGAGCCACCCGGTATACGTAATTTTTTTGTGCGTTTGCGAAATTGAACGGCTAATTTACTCATTCTCCTGATTAATTGCAAAAATGGATGACGACACAATCAAAAATAGATAGTATCAATTCTAAATATAACCATACTTCAACGACAAAAAAATCGAGTAATAACAATCATTTTGCAAAGAATTTAAAATAGGCACCAAATTATATTCAATTTACGTAGGCAAATTGTTGACGCGTGCGCATTGCGGTTATCTAATACCAGCACGAGGTCTCACGAAAACCAAAACTACTTGCCACATCTTTTAATTTTTTCGGTAACCTTCTGATATTACAATCGAAATATTTCAATTCAATCACTTCGATTTTGTTTTAAACACGAAATATTACCGAATTATGTACATTAATTAATTAGTTTTAAGTTAAGAAGTTTTCGATAGGCAATAAAAGTGGATTATTAAAGAAAAATTTTGACAGAAAGTTTGTTTATTAGTATTTGAGTAGGGATGCGCGGCAACGCTGCGACAAGGGGAACAAAGATGGCTATGGTTCTATCCGCCATTTTCTAAAGTGAGATAGAATAAGTTGTTTGAGAACATTTTTGTGAAAATTAAACAATAAATTTCGGAAATTTCGCTCGAAAAACATCGGTAATACGTTTCTATGTTGATATCGCCTGCCAAAGTCGAACTGATGTGTCAAAAAGTGCCCCATTGAAGGCCCGATACGCGCGCGTCTCCCAAGAAAGACCATTGTGTGAGAGAAGGTAATCGGTTTTCTTTGTTACTTATACTTATTTCATTTCATTTTATCAGCATCTTTGTTATAAAAAGAGATAAATTTTGAGCGAGAAGATAGACATTCCCAATTTTGCGTTTTTGATTGACGTTAACATTTTTAGTTATTTTGGAAATTAGCGAAATACTTTGCCGCGCCCTTCCTTTAGAAGGCGTTAATTGATTTAAATACGCAGTTAATTTTCGTATATTATCCAATTCGATTTGCATGCGTTCTATTCCCTATACACATCAAACGCCGGCGTTTTGTATTGAAGTATGAAAGAAAAATGCATTATTTTTACATTTTCCTATATTCTATTATCCCTAACATTTTTCGTTTAGGTACTTTAGTACTATCAAACTCATTTAGCCTCAAATACTTTAATAAAATATTCAAATGAAATTACCTGTAGACGAGATTATATTTTGTAGTGGATATTGTACAAAAATGTGTAAAGCAAATTCAATTATACATGCCTGCAATTCCTCTCTAATTAGTATTAAAATGGTCGATTTATTGATTACTTTACACTTTTTAAAGTTTACATATGTAGGAGCTTTCTAAATCATAAAAATTGGCTAATTTCTGCTTCAAATAAGACTCCACAAAAATATCTCATTTAACCCCAGAGCTAATATACAAGGTGTTTATCAAGTAGGTACAGAAATGAAGGAAAATGGTCTCTTACTATTAAGCAGTTTATAAAACCAGCTAGCTCATCTACAAGACACCAAATTACCAATAAAGACACCCTTATCTATTATTTTTTAATTTTTTTAGACTTTAAAGATGTTCGATCCGAACACGATAACCACCCAGCAATCGCAGATACAATACCAGCAACAGCCCCAACAAAATGACAAAGACAAGGGCCAGGAGCAGAAGGACACGTTCGCCCCCTTTTGCTACGCCAACGTCAACATGATACACAAAATCACCCCCAACACGACCCAAACGCACAGCTCCACGGTGAACATGTCCCAATTGACCGACGACAAGTGCTACATCACGCAGCCGTTCAGCTACAACTACACCCTGGTCAATCAGAATTTGCTCACCCAAAACGCCATCTCGAACATCACCTTCAAATGCGACGTGTGCGGCCTGATGTTCGCCCATCTGTCGCTGCTCAACCACCACAAGAAGGTCCATCACGGCCAGACCGACCAGAACCAGGGCCAGCAGCAACAGATCACCGTGCAGGTACGATTATAACCCCATTAAAGCTTCGTTTTGATCGACTAATTCGATCGGTTGCAGGTGCAGCAACCGCAGCAACAACCCACCCAGATCCAAATCGTATCGGCCGATCGCATTCGGTTCTCCTGCGAGGAATGCGGCCTCACGTTCAACACCCAAAACGATCTTAAAACCCACAAAATACAGTCGCACCAACAGCAAAACCAACAACAACAGGTACGCACTTAAACCCTCCGAAATCTCATCGTATATCATCACTCGAATCGCTTGTGGTAGGTGCAGGCGCAGGCCCAGCAACAGCAGCAACAGCAGCAGCAACAGAACACGCTGAAGATAAAGAACTGCGAATCGTGCGGGGCGCCGCTGCCGCAGGACAACAACAAGAAGAGGGCCGTGATGAAGGTGAAGTGCGAGAACTGCTTGAGCGCCGAGGCCATACAGCCGCAGATCTTCGTCGTGGCGGCGGCGCCGGACGCTTCGGTGAAATTCGAAGAGACCACCGGCACCCAAACCCAAGCCCAAGCCATAGGTAATTCGGGCGATTGTTCGTCGGTACGGTAAACTTTACAGTCCGTTTGAGACGTTCCAGGTACGCAAAATTCGATACCGATAGGCGTGAAAAACAACCACCCGGTGAAGCGGAGAGGCATCGCGAGCGTGACCAAATGCACGAAATGCAACGGTAGCGGCATCATCTTCATCGGCGGCTCGAAGAACCAACAGAACAACGTCGATAAACCGTTTCATTGCAACATTTGCAACGGTATGTACTGCATAATTGTAAATTACTTTTCAATAACCCGCTCGTTTTCCAGGCTCCTTCAGCCGATATTCCTCGCTGTGGTCCCACAAGCGCCTGCACACCGGCGAGAAGAACTTCAAATGCAACATCTGCGGACTGGCCTTCGCCAAAGCGGCCTATTTGAAGAACCATTCGCGAATACACACGGGAGAGAAGCCCTACAGGTGTAACGTGTGCGGCATGCAATTCTCGCAATCGCCGCATCTCAAGAACCACGAAAGGATACATTCGGGAGAACGGCCGTACATCTGCGAGGTTTGCGACAAGTCCTTCGCCAGGCATTCGACCTTGTGGAACCACCGGAGGATCCACACCGGCGAGAAACCCTACCGGTAACATCCCCAAGCATTATAATCTACTCTATTTAACTTATCGTTTGTTGTTAGTTGCGATATTTGCGGGTCGTGTTTCAACCAAGCCACGCACCTGAAGAACCACGCCAAAGTACATTCCGGAGAGAAGCCCTTCAAGTGCGATATTTGCTCCGTGGGATTCTCCGACAGGTAACACGATTTCGCGAGACTTTTAACATTTGTTTTAAACACGATTATCCGCAGGTTTGCGTTGAAGAGGCACCGGAATATCCACGAGAAGTACGGCAGGACGAAGCCGCAGGTGGCGACGGCCGGCGGCGAGGACGTGAAGGACTCGATAGCGACGGTGACGATGGCGATGGCGCAGGACGCCGATCACGATCACGAGGAGATCATCGAGACCAAGTACGAGCAGAAGTTCGAATCGGTGGAGGGCAGCGACATGGAGGAGGAGATGACTGATATATCGGAGTTGCAGGTGCAATTGCAATGAGCGCGTCGATCGGATTGGGTTTCGATCGAATTGTTCGGTTGGTTTTTGTCGAAGGGATGGAACGAGGGAAGGGTTTATTGTTTGGTTGCGTGCGAATCGTACTGTCGTTCTGGTTCCCGTTTTGACTGCTTTGATACAAAGAGATGATTTTCTATTACATGCGCATGGTGGTTTATTTTTTAATTTATATGTGTTACGGGTAAAGTTATTAACGATTAAACTTATTTGGGGTAGGGTAGGTTTCTTGAGTTCCTGTTTTGTTACGGAAACCTACCTTACCCTATCCTTACCCAAACTTTAATCGTTTATCTAACTTTACCCTTAACATACACATACCCAAAAAACGGAAGAATTTAATTTGATTTGTGATAATTATTTTTCTAAGTACCTACTTTGTTCTAAAACTGGTACAATTTATTCGCGCTGTTTAAAAAACCGTATTTTTTTTATTTTTGGTACTAGCATTTTTTGAAGATGAAATAAAAAAATTCGTCTTTTTGTCCGTTTGAATGAAGCAATACTGTTGATAAAATTTAATTTCCGGCTAAAAGGACGCAAATATAATGTCTTCGTATGCGATGTAAATAATCTTACTTATCAATAGAAATAATAAGGTTACATTGTAGAATTAGATGATAGATTTAAATACGTTATTTCCTTTATATTTAGTAGATATCCATGGACGATCGTTTGCTTTATTAAAATAGAGTATTTTTGCAAATGAATTGCGATACTAGTTTTTTAATGATTAATAATAATTGAAAGCTGTACGATTCCGTTCCGAATACATGAAATTATTTGATCAAGAAATACTGAATAAAAATATAATTGATAAATAAATCGCCTCGTTTTTACAGCCTAGAAAGACTTTTTTACATTTAATTTATTCGAGTGAGTGAAATCCATTTTATGCTAGGATAAAAAATTCGTCCGAATGTCGAGGGCAATTACCCCGATTTTCGAGATAATTAAGGTCTTGTTAAGTTTTCGTTGAGAAATCCGACAGGGTCAAATGTCAATAACTAAATCTCGAGTCTTTTTATCGAGAGTCACGCACGAAATTTTAAAAACTTGTTGCGAAATCGACCCACATTTTAGTTATCAAGTTCTCGAAGATTTCTCATTTTCATTTTTTTTTCTCTCGCGTTAACTTTGCCAGAGATTGCGTGTTTTCCACGGATTTTTTTCGCATAAACGTTAATTATCAGCCGCTGGGACTTTCTCGTTAGTTACGATTTGTTTCTTAATTGTTTAATAGAAAATACTAGAGCCGAAATGCTAGTAATTGTTACTTAATTAAACAGAAAATGTAAATAGCTTATGTAAAAAATGAGGTAAGTTTAATGTATTAAACAAACTTTAATATTATTTCAAAGCACTTTCGCTTGGGATAACTAGTCCTAATTGTTCGCCAAAGTGCAAAGTTGCTTCGCCAATTTTGCACCCAATTAACACTTTTACCTTGCTGTGCTTGGTTTATTTATCTTGAAAACCTTCAAAAAACCTTCCAAATTATCCTTATAAATCAATAAGGTAACCAAAAATTCCTCTAATTACCGTTTAAAAACTACCACAATTGTCACATCTGTTTAATTAATTAGTAATAATTAAAGGATTCTGGGTGCAGTAATTTTGCAGCCAATTAAGCATTTCACCTGGCTTTGCTTGGGGCAATATTCAAAGAAATTTTTAAAAATTTATTTACCTTCCAAAACCTATCCAAAAAATCAATATAAATCGAAATTAGACAATCAAAAATCTTTATTATCTACTGTACAAAAACCAACAGAATTGTCACATCTGGTTTTAATTAATTAGTAGAACACAATTAAATTGTCCAGTACTTTTATCACAATTAATTTCGTATTCAAAATTTTATTACGAGCTAGAAAAAAAAACATGATTTACGATAAATACCAAGGTTCAAGTTTATGCAAATGGGTTTTTTAAGTAACAATTTAACAAAAAAAAAAGATTGAAAAATGGTTACGAATTAATACTTGCGTGCGTAAGTGTCTACATTAATACGGAAACGTATTAAACAACAGAAAATATATTCGTATTAGCGCCATTTTGCGAGTTTCCAAAATTTTCCAAAATTCCTATAATTATCAATAATAATAACTTTATTCGTCTGCAACCAGGAAACGCAATTAAATTAATGGACAGAAGAGAAAATGTTTCCGTCACAGTGTAGGATTTCTCGGTTTTCGGCCATACACTTAAATTAAATGCCTACCTAAACATAATAATAAAATTAGAATAATATCCAGTCCATCTATTGTTACATAATAGGAAAGTTCCGAATACATTTTTATTCTAAGAAAGGAAGTACATACAGAGTGACCCGTTTCAGATTCCATTAAATTGTGACACTTTCGAATCGTGATTACCCAAAATCCACACCAGCTAATCTAACGCTTTAATTCAACTAAAAAAAGTGTAGAGATGATTTCAATTATAATAAAGAGGGCTACCCTGTAGGCCCGCTTCAAAACGTAACTCGTTACACAAACTTCTAATGATGGTGTATAAACTGCAAGGAAAACGAAAGTTATTTTTTTAGCGAAAGGTCGGTAACCGCGTACGAAAGTTTCGGTTATTAGATTATATTAGTTTATGGAAGAATATTACGTAATATTTAAAATGGTTTTTTTTTCCGAGTCGGTAATATGTAATTTGGAAAGTCAACTGCACCGAAGGATCCTCATTTCTTTGTTGTATTACAACCGAAGTAGGTTATTATAACGGGTGTAAGAAGTATACAGATTTATATCGTGCTGGTAAACCTGTCGCAATTACTGCTATCTCTGCTCTAGAGTGATTCTGTTGCAATTACTTTTGCTTTAAAGGCCCCTTGTTAAGTTGTTAAAACTAAAATATGATCAATTAATTTGATTATAACAGAAAAAAATAGAAACTATCAAAGATTTTTTACAGGATTTTAAAACTTGAAACAGGTTGCTGATGTTTATGCCTAGTAGCTACCACTTTTTCCCTATAGCAAAAAATCGGCGATATAATTTTAATAGTCTTTTTATTAATTCGATTTTAAGGCTTTTTTTGGTCTCGATCATTACCTAGTACGAAGAAAACAATAATTAAGCCATTAATGTTTTTTGTCGAGATATTTTCCAAGACATTGACGCACTAAATATTAGAATTTTTGAAGACGACCGTATACGCAAAATTAATAAATAATAGGCAATTAATAATCAGTGTGACAGCATAATTTGTATATTAATTTGTCAAGGCAAAAACGCATGGATGATAAAACTTGAATTTGTTATTATTCGCGTGTATAATTGAATATTGATTATATTCACTAAAAAAAATGTTAAATTAATTATGAAACTATATTATTTTTAGACCTTTAATGGATTAAAAATCCTGTCTTTATTATCTATAAAGAAATAATCTTTCAGCGCAGGATTCTTATCAACAAGTGCGAATAAAAGCACTTGAACAATTTACCGGTTTACCGAAGAAATTTCTTTATTTAGTCCACTTTCTACGCAACGGTAGTTGGTAATGTCATTTCTCAGTACCTATTTATTTATCGGATTTCTACAGTTTCATGTCTAATGTTTACAATGTTATTTTATACGAGTAATTTTCCTCGGTGAAGGTGCGATCGTTTTCGTGCATTTCTAATTCGAAAGAAGAGCGTATTAGGGTCACTAATAGCTTACTTAGAGCAGCACTTTTGATAAAAAAAAAACATTTTTATTCGCGATTATAAATCACGAGTAGGTACTTATGCATTACCTACTTATTTATATTTCATGAGTGGCAATCAAATTTCACCTCGCAGCGATCAATCTACTATAGTAGTTCGAAAAATCTACGGGTATTACTAACCCCAATCCTCTACTTCTACCTACAGACTTTTTCGCTGGTAAAAAAATTTTCGCTTTCTCGATGAAAGGAAAAATGCGAAAAAAATCCCGCGAGATAATCGTTCGAAATTTCATGGTAAAGTTCACACAGTTTCTCGTCTAACGCCGTGATTTCCTCCAACTAATCAGCTCGAAATCATCTATTACTCATTGTAATAGAAATTTTCTAATTTTTACATAAATTTTATTAGATTTTAAAAAAACGTCAGAGATATGTCAAAAAGTCGGTAATGCAGATTCCTGTAATACCGCAAAAACATCGAGCGCCATATTTAAACAAAAATCTCATTACTAATTACCCCATTGGCGATTTTTATTTTTATTTCGCCAACATTTCTGGACATTCTCCGAGTAAACGGAATACAAAAATAAAAATCAAGCGAGACGCGAGACCGTTTTTCCTCCTCCCCAGACGGTCGAAGCGCCGCGGAGCGAACCGGTGCGGTCCCCACTCAGTGTTTTATCCAGCCATACGCAGATGGGAGAGATGATTTCTCGTTCTAATTCTACACTTTATATTTCGCCCGATGCCGTTGGGTGTGTAAAAGATCGCGCGATATCGCCCGTTTCGTAGTCCGGTAAGTGCAGAATTGGATTTTTTAGTGCCATTTAGGAGCGAGGGCGTTCGGTATTTCGTTTAGTGCTCCTAGTGGAATCGATAGCACGTCCTTCTGCTGTTACTTGTTTCCCGTTCGGGTTTTGGTTGAATAATAAAAGTGTTTGTTTTAGTGGAGTAACACGTCTTTTCCATCTCATTTGCGCTAGGTGAGTTCAAAGAATATCTTCTGTATATTGTAAAACTGGTAGGCAGTTTAATGACCGGGCTGTAATGTTTATTAATATCATATTTGATCGAGGATTTTTGTATATTAAGTAGATTCAAATAAGGATTATTTATGTCTTCGCTGGAGTGCTAAAAGCAAATACTAAAATGCCTGTTTGTTTTCAACGAAATAATCTCTTAACACAATAATCATAGCTTCCTTGATATAAATAAAATGTATAGTTGCTCCAAAGTCAATCAAATGCACTCATTGAATGAATGAATCACTTATAGTCTTTCCAAAGTCAATATTGAAATGCACAAAAAAAATTGATTTTGAAAAATAATTTAAAACATTTAAGACAGTCAGGAGTGCCAATTAAAAACATTCAATTATTGTTTATAATACACTCCCACACGTAACCGGTTAACAATTTATAAAGTATGATTTTTAATTATGCAATTTTATTGTTAAAACTTCGATATTAGAATGCTCGAATCCAGGCAAATTTTATTCAATTTCCACAACATTGATTGATGCAAAATTATACTAATAAATTGCACCAATTAAATGCAGCTTTCTTTACGAATTAATCATGAATTATTAATATTGCCAAGGAAAGGAAAATACGCGAGTTAATTATACAAAAAAAGAGGCAAGGGAAATTCTTATTATTAAATGAAAAACATAATTACATACCTACTTAATAATTCAATGAATCAACAAAAAAATAATTTATTTAAATAATTAATACATATTCCGAATTATTTATATTTACATGTTTACTTGATAAAATTTCGGTAAAAATGCAAATTGCATTAAGCAAAAGGGTATCTAGAATATTCAGGGTGATTACGATAAACAATAACAAACGAAAATTGTTTTATTTTCCTACATTTTTTTACTAGAGCGCTTCAAGATTTACTTCACGTGCATAAATTCAATCGACCTTCGGAAAATAGCATTCATTTTCAGATATCCTTGCTTGAATAGTTATAAATTTTTGTCCACAAGGTAACAACAGAGGGTACATTAAGATATTAAGTAATTATTTACCGGAATAACTACAAAGTTACCGGCTCGGAAATGAAAATGCAACAACATCAGCCCGCTGGAAAATGAATTTATTAATTGCTAATCAAACGTAAACAATAAACACGTGCATTTTATAGACCTAAAGTTCGTGGAATATATTCATTGCCATTGTTATTATGCTCCGAATATCATTTACAATTTTATTAACAATAAATAATTATGGATAAGCAGGTGGAATGATCGTTCGGAAATTAGTAACAAAAGTTGTAAAATTGTTTTACTTAATTCGAGCTCTATCGTGGGAATTTTTGCGATCTGCTCGTTTGAGTCGATCGAATGTGAAAGTAAATAACATATCATCGGTAAAATTGTATCATTCAATGTGTATTTAACCCAAAAACCAATTCAAGCGAACGTTATTTATCCACAATAATTCGCTGGATAAAGGATATTTATCGCCCCGAGAAATGTAATTCCGCTAAAAAAATCGATAAAACCACCGCGATAATAATTTCATTTCCTATTTGAACAGTTGAATTCAAACAATCCAATGTCCGTGACGAACTAACATTGTTGCTAGTACAGGAAACTGGACTGTACTAGATTAATTCATGTTTAATACCACATAAATTCTTTCAAGAATAGTATACATAAAAGAAGAACCTCTCTAATCTCTAATAATGTAAATAACTTCTCGTATTCGCGGTATTTAGGGATAAGATTCACTTTCAGCTCCGCGAACGTTATGTCATTGCAGGAAATGTTGAATAATTTTCTATGTTTATTCGTTTAGATAGCAACGGGCCGGAGTATCGAAGTGAACGTAACCGAACGTGACTAACAAAGAACAAAAATAATTAATTACAAAACTAAACCAGGGCCGGCGCGCCGAATACACACATCGCACGGAAACATATGGTTTTCCATATCAATGTAACAACACTTTGAACCTGAACGGAAGATTGTCGAAAGTTCAAACGAGACCGATTATCTAAACGCAAGGTTATATACTGTATTAATTCGACCGTGGGCCACGTATTTTATTAATCGAATATGTCGCTGGAAATCTCCCAAAATAAATTTAACCTACCTATTTTTTTATCGATTAATCATCGAGTAATTTAAACAGTCTGTTAATATACAGTGTGAACTGACTAGAGACACACTGTAGGTATACAAAAAGGAAACTTTATGTATGTATACCTAAACGAAAATCTTCAATTTATTCATTTTAAAACTACTTATTGTACTAACCTTGTGCGCTACGAAATAATCTAATGTATTTAATTAAAAAAAAATATTCCCTTATCGGAAAACATGCACGGGTGCAGATTTTTGCACTTAATCGAGTGACGTCCTATCGCAAATTGATTTGGTATTATTTCGAACGCATTTGATCGTTTGATTCGACATTGACCTACAGTACATGCGTTGACTGATAATGATCGCATGGAACGTTTACGAGCTACTATATCATGTATTATATCAACCGGTTGGGTTTATATCGAAGAGAAAACTCGAGAGAAACTTCATTCGTGCCGTTTGCTGGTTATTTTTTCCTGATTTTTTGACCCCTATGATTTGTGAACTTTCTTTTATAGAGACACAATTTTCTTTTATTATCCCGTCGACGACTTTCTATGTTGATTAACACTTGTATTGACCGTAATTCAGTAATATTGTAACTATCCGCCCCTGTATAATTATACATTACTCACCTACTTTACTTTTAATTACCCAGCAGGTACAGAGCGATGGAAATAGCTGAAGACATTAACTCACATCTCCAGCTATTTCGATCGTACTGTACCAATCCTGGGGTTTGATAACAACATTCTTTGTAAGTTGATAGGAATAAAGAGTCAGAATTTGGTTTATTTCTTCCATTTCTGATACGGAATTTGTTTGTTGTATGCAAATGTAGTAGTTCTTAAGACTCGAATGTAACGAGATTTCTCGAACAGTGCTGGAGCTTTTATTGATCAAGGTTGTAGATTTTTTTCTTTGTCCTGTTGTTTTTTCTGCGTAATTATTGATACTCGCTGTAGCGAAGAGAGATTATACCCGTGGATTTTATGTGTGATTTAATAGAGAGGAAAATTATTGAAATAATCACGATTATCTGGTAAGATTAGATCTATTGTCGTAAATTTTTTTATCAATTGTAAAGCTTGATATTTCATCACGCACAAACGTAATAACTATAAAATTTCACCGGTTTTTTTTAAGAAGAGTTTTACTATTGTTCGTCGAAACGATAAAAAACGTGACCTAGATTACGCAAATATCAAATTCAGGCTAAATCATAATGTTTTTTAAATGTCCCTCGGTTTAATATCACCGGTATGAATACTTTGCACTTTCATTTCTACCTAATCACGCGAAGATTCATGTAATCGTTTTCACATAATTTGTTATAAATTTGTACACCCCATCTAGCTTTCAAGTTAATCAATTATAGCCATTAAAAAATTAACCAATGCAATATTCTCAATCGATTTTGGACAATTTTAAAATGTCACGGCTGCTGTTCTCATTATCCCGTTTGGAAAATTTTCCGAAATATTCGATTTCGATTTTAAGTGAAAGTGTCGCAACGGCGATTTAGTTCAAGAAGCAATGACACAAGATCCTTGAACAGGACTCGAAATCGCAAGTAAAACGGTTAAAAAATTCCAGCTGATGGAATTACGCGAACGCGAGAAAATATTACCAGCTAATTACCAGCGAATGCCGATTCGAGTTTTAATAGATTTGCATGCGAAATTTAAATTAACGAGTACTGTATGCATAGAACTTTACTTGAATGAAGTAATTCCGAAATTGTGAAGTGTCTATTAGTAATTGAGTAGGTAGTTAGCTGAAATTATCTCACCGCAAATGACAGTATATATTTCTGTGCAATTTACTGGGTACTATCGTTGTAGAAAAAAACCGTTTTTAGTGCTCTTTGCAGGCTTTCTTCACGATCGAATTTAAACCGAATGATCGGCGCTATATTTAACTCTGGTTCTCCTTGAAGCAGATATGCATTGGAAAAAAATTAAACGAATACTTGGGATTCATCTTCTATCAACTGGTTTTTGTGCCATTACACATATTTCCAATTTTTCCACGTATAGGAATTTAGTGTTCTTATCGAATTATCCGAAAAAATTGACTATTGAACGACCCCAAATGAAGGACTATTTTATAGAAATAATTGGAGCTAATTGAAATGGTAATATAATCAATCAAGTGTCAATTAATAATTTATTAGGTTTTTAAAATTTTTTATTGGCACCATTAATTAGCAATAAAAATTCTCCTAGACCTAATTAGAAGCGAGAAATTTATCATCTTATTATTTACTTTAAAACAGTACAATTACCTATTATATAATTTGTTATAATAAAAATCGCGCGTTAAACTTCAAATCTTCATTTCCAATTACTTGCGTAATTTTGTATAAATATAACTGACCATACTTAAAATTAAGTAATATATAACTAATGACTGGCGTCTTCGGCATTCCAATTACTTTCTAACAGTTCTTCGGCCGAGCCTTTCGCTTATTTTACATATGATTAATATCACTTTCTTTGCTTAATCTTGGGAATATAAAATTCGTTGAACTATAAACCTATTCAGTAATCAATTTACCCACTTTTTAACGTTTAATGTCAAATTAATTTGCCTTTTTTTCTTATAAAATATTGACTCTATAAAATGACCTGGATTAATTTCTATTTTTTTTTTCCTAAAATATTTACTCTATAAAATTGATTTCTTTTTTTTTCCTCTCACAATTTTCGTAACGAGCAATATACATAAAAAAATCATTACTCATTTACGCATATTAATTCTTATTACATGCAAGCAATGAGGAAACTTGCATTGTACAACTTCGACAAAAAAATGCCCAATCTCTTCGCGCGTTTGTCGATAGATAACAAGTTTTATGTTCTTTGGATTTCATTAAACCAACCTCGATAGTTACTTTTGCATAACTAATGTAATCTATTTCAAAGCAATTACAAATGCAACGCGCAAGGTCTCTGTAAAACGCACGTATTTCCTAATTAAACGCCATCAGACAATCTATCGGGATTGTTTATTACTGGAATTTAATTAAATCGTAAACGTAAAAAATTACAAAATCATTAATCATCGAAATTTGAAACTGTTCTAGTCAGTTTCCCTGTTGTTTTATCTTTAATTTCTTGAACTTTTTTGTTAATCAGAGGGATGAATTGATGAGGAAAAATTTACAAAGAGGATGGTTCGAAAAATAATTCATCATTTGATTCACAACTGCAATAAATTTTGAAGCTACAAAAATAGTAACTACACCTCGAGATTGTTTCGTTATAAACGATATTTTGTTGGAATTGCAATTTAAAACGTTCACTTCGAATTTATTTGGGTCGCGTTATTTATTACTGGCATTTCGATTTTTTTTTGTAATTGTTCACTTATTAATTACATTACGTACTCGGCGGTTTTTTACCCTTAAGCTGTCGAAATTAAACTATCATTTCAAAATTCAATTACCGTATAATTATACGCAATTATTAAAGGAACATTTGAATAAATTATGTATCTTAGTATCTAGTAATTTTTGTACTAATTGAAACGAATCCAATGAAATAAATTAAATACACGCAATAAACATTTACGAAATTAATTATCTCTGTTGTTTAGTTTTAGGTTTTAGTGTGAACGTAATATGAATAACATTCTTGTTATTCAAAATTCTAATCGATTTTATTATTCAAAAAAATTATTTTGCAACATAAAATTTTGAAAATCGAATCGGTATCAACAAGAACATTAGTCAACATAAAATTAGCGAAAACAATTCCGAGTATTCAATGCAAATTAATTAATTTCCGGCTATTTAATTCACCACTATTAGTTAAGTTTTATATGTTTACTTAGATAATCGCAGTCGCACTTAAACCGAAAAAAAAAAAATAGTAAAAAATTAGTCATAAAAAAGTATTTTTATTATCTAATTTATCCAAACAAATTATCCTCAACAACATTTAATATGTATCTCAGATAATTAACTTTTCCATTCACATTATATCTATAATATTAGCTACTTATTACCATGTACTCATTTGATCGATAGGATACATATTTATAGATAATATTATTTCAGATTCCAATAAACATTCTGATGAACATTCAACCGAACAATCCCTCACAAACTCCAGCTAACCGATAATAAAAAAAAACCACAACGCAATCGACAAAATGCCGGCGGTGATTTCGAAATTTTTGGAAAAGAGCGAGCACACGCTGCACGCCAACCGGACCCTCTTCTCGGGGGCGGTGGTGGCGGCGGCCCTTTGCACCTACGCCTACAAAGTGGGCTACCCTCTCGTCGGCTCCCTCATCCACAAGCCCCCCAAACAACCCGTCGAGGTCACCGTGAACAACAACCACATCGTCTCCAAGAACGGCCTCGTCAAAAACGGCGTCAAAAACGGCCTGGTCAACGGCGTCCGGAAGAAATCCAAAGGGCGCACCAAAAACGGCGTGCCCAACTTCAACTTGGCCTTCATACTGCAATTCATCAAGTTGGTTAGGATAATGATACCGAGCGTGTTCTGCACGGAAACCGCCCTGCTCGGCGGCCACACGGCCTTCCTCTTCCTGCGGACGTTCCTCAGCATATACGTGGCCAATTTGGAGGGCGCCATCGTCAAGTACATCGTCATGAAGCAGCCCAAAAGCTTCATCCAGCAGCTGGTCAAATGGTTCGCCGTCGCCATTCCGGCCACGTTCATCAACAGCATGATCAGGTAAGCTCCCGCGATTCGTCCGAAACCTCAGCTACATCTCCGCCTTTCGCAGGTACTTGGAGAGCAGGATAGCCTTGAACTTCCGCACGCGCCTTGTCGACCACTCCTACAAGCTCTACTTCAAGAACCAAAGCTACTACAGGGTGACAGTGCTGGACGGTAGGCTCGACAATTGCTCCCAGCGGCTCACCGATGATATAGAAACCGTAGCGAACACCGTTTCCCATCTCTACGGGCAAATCACGAAGCCTTGCTTCGACATACTACTCATGGCCATAGCCTTGGGGAACCTAGTGAAATCGCGAGACTCGAACCTCATCGTCGGACCCGTCATCATCACCGGCGTCGTCCTCTTTTCGGCCCTCGTTCTAAGGTAACTACATACTAAGAGCGCCTGTCGCCGGATAGAATCGATCGCTGTTTCCTCGCAGATTGGTGTCGCCGAAGTTCGGGCAACTGGTGGCCCAGGAGGCCGAGAAGAAGGGCTACCTGCGGCACGTCCACGGCCGGATCGTCAGCAACGCCGAGGAGATCGCCTTCTACGGGGGCCACGAGGTGGAGCGGGGCCATCTGAGGCGCGCCTACGACCGCCTGGCCGAGCACATGGAGCGCATGTTCGGCGTCAAGCTGTGGTTCATCATGCTCGAGCAGTTCCTGATGAAGTACGTCTGGTCCGGCGCAGGTAATCACCTTTATTCGAATTATTCGAAATGTAGTTTTGAGGATTCGATAAACGGGTTGTTAATATTATTAAAGAGTTCATCAGAAAGAGTGTGATCTCTTCATGGAATGGTTGTGCAATATTACACTAACGCTAATAAGGTGAAGCAATTAGTTAAGTAAATAACAATTTAATCGTCTGTTTGGTTGCTTCAAGTACATTTAAAATCGTTCCAATCCGATAGGTTAACTACAAAATTGTTTCTAATAACTGTAATCAACGTTTCACAACAATTTATCGTTCAAAACAATCCTATTTCGACACCACAAATACATTCGCAGATGATCCACATTATAGCATCAATTACAATCCTCTCCAGGTATAATAGTAGTCTCTCTACCCATCCTCCTGGCGACCAACAACAGGCGCAAGGCGCACACCAACAGCCTCCTCTCCATTCCGGACCTCACCTCGAGGAAATCGCTCGAGGCGGACGATCGGCCCGCGGACACGGTGGAGGACAGCGTCTCCGATCGCACGCACTACTTCACCACGTCCAAGAACCTCCTCATCACCGGCTCCGACGCCGTCGAGCGGCTGATGAGCAGCTACAAGCACATCGTCGAGCTGGCCGGGCACACGGCGCGCGTCGCCAACATGTTCGAGGTGCTCGACGAGGCCAGCAAGGGCATCTACCACAAGACGCTGGTGGCCAAGAACGACAAGCCGGCCGCCTTCCGCATCGAGTTCAACGGCAACCAGCCTGTAGCTAAAGGTAACTAGACACCTCTATCTAGAGCAGATGAAGGAACTTCCTCCAAACACCTCTTCTACCAATCTTTCCCCGACAGTATCCCAGCCTTCCTGGACTTCTGCACTCTTCTGGCTCCTCGTAGACCAGTTTTTAACAGAAGCGAAACGTTCTTTTGCAGGGAAAATCGTAGCATCGTCGAATAACGAGATAATACTGAAGAACGTTCCCATTGTAACGCCGAATTGCGACATAGTGTGCCCGTCGTTGAGTCTCGCTTTGGCGCCGGGCCAGCATTTGCTCATTACCGGTCCGAACGGTTGCGGCAAATCGAGCTTGTTCAGGATATTGAGCGGGTTGTGGCCGGTGTACGGCGGGGAGCTGCACACTCCCGTGAACTCCATGTTCTACATACCTCAAAGACCCTACATGGTGATCGGTGAGTTAATGAAGAGGGTGTAAATCGGTTGGTTTGATGGAGTTGTTGTAGGTAACCTGAGAGACCAAGTGATCTATCCCGATACCGAAGCGGACATGGCGAGAAAGGGCGTGAACGAAGATAAATTACTGAAGATCATGACGATGGTTCATTTGGATCACATAGTGGAACGCGATGGCTTCTATGAAGTTAAAGACTGGACGGACATCTTGTCAGGAGGTGAAAAGCAACGGATGGCAATCGCTCGGCTATTTTACCACAAGTAATAAATCGCAATAACTTCGATCTTTTAAGTTATTAACAATCATTTTGCAGACCTAAATACGCTCTTCTCGACGAATGCACCTCCGCTGTGTCCATCGACGTGGAAAGTTTCATCTATCAAAGCGCTATCGACATGGGGATTACTCTACTTACTATCACTCACAGGCCCACTTTGTGGTGAGTATACTTGCTTTTGGGTAATTGTAGGTGTACCAAAACGCGATGTAATTGCAGGAAATTCCACACGCACATACTCCAATTCGACGGGACTGGTTCCTGGGAATTCAGCCAGCTCAACCACACCGATCGGTTGAGTTTGAAGAAGGAGAAGGAGGAGTTGCTGAAATCGGGGAGCGCCGAAGAGCAGAAGAATAGACTGGAGGAATTGAACAAACTGCTCGGAGAGGACGAATAGATGTCGTGTAGTTAGAATTCCTGGTGATAGTGCTGTGATAATTCCAAACGAGCTAACGAATAGGCGTTGAAATTGGATGAAAACGCGATGATTTCTTCTAGCGATATTTCCGGTCATTTGGACTTTGCATATTTCGTACTTTTTTCTAATGATAATGAAAAAGTATAAATCAGTTTGTTGGTGATAGCGGGAGATTTGCGTAGTTTTAATAGACCACATTGTTGACATAATATAGGTGTAATGTAAACAAATTATTAATTTTTAGCGAAAATTGTTGATATAATTTAATTTTTCTTCATGTTCCATTTTATAGTTTGAAATTACTACAGTAGCTTTTTAGTAAGATATCGATATTTTAAGGAATATAAATTTTAATTCAATGTGATCAATGTATACATGTTTTAGTTTTATTTATAATTTAAGTTGTGATTATTCATTTTTGAATGTTATGATTTTCGTTGGAGATAAATATTTTTTCACGTGTACAATTTGAATAATTTATTTTTTCCTGTTCGTCGTTCTCTTGAGGCCTCTTCTACTTAGGTTATTCAACCCATAGAAAAGAAAATAATTATTCGACATTTCGACTTGTCCTGTGTCAGTACTGTCAATAGTGTCAATGTCATTAAAACTGACATATGTCAGAAACAGCCGTTTACCGTTTGTATTTTGGTGTGTTTGTGTTTATGTTTTTCCTTTATTCAACAAACGTGTTGATTTGTAATTTCCACTTGTAGTATTGACAGAATAATTATTCGAAATCAAGATGATGTACACTATGGATGATGACGAATTAATCATTAACGTAATTATCGAGAATCAAGCCTACTATGTTCTTCGTGGAAAAACTTTTTGGAAAGATTTGGCCCAAGAGGAAACCTTTAGGGATAGGACGTTGGAAGGATTGAAGACCCGTTTTTTCCGGTACATTCATCCAAACATTCAAAAATACCACAACATCAGTTTGTTGGAAAGAAGGAAAATTGAAGTGGCATTGCACCAAACCAAACAGAATTTTGCCTATGAAACGGAAGAAGGCCTTTCATCTGACAGTTCTTCAGACGATTAATATATTATAAAATATTTAATGCTTAGTTAAGTTGTTTATTGTACTTGTTAATATTTTACTTGTTTTTTATATATTTATATTCTCAATTTTTTTGCCTTGTATTTCCTTCTTATTTTCTAAGTTTTCTAACTCTTCCTACATATTGAGATGAGAGATGAGGCCTCAGCTTCAGTGGTTTTTCAGTCTTCTATCAAGTGGACTTCCTCTTTTTTCTCTTATGACAATTGACAGAAGTGTCAAAAAATAATTACAAATCCAAAGGCAACATTCTAATTTCGCATTAAAATTTAATTTCCGATTAACTTTACCATCTTGTATTACTAATTTTATGTTTTGAACAAACAATTTAATCGATGACTAACTAATACAAAGGATGAAGGCCATTTTTAGCACGTGAATTATTATACACCCATTTCAAATTAGTCATCAAACACTTGTTGATAAGGAAACAACCAAATAACGGGCGTGTGATACAATACAACAACAAAATTGGCTAAACATTGTTAAAATGAACGGGGAAATAGAAGTTTCAGAAACGCCTAATTGGTTAAACGAGCTCGAAGAGAAGCGAGAGAAACGATTAAAAGCCAAATTGGGCCATGAAGCAGGAGCTGGGGCTCCATGCCTAAAATGCGGCGACAAATGTCCAGGTAAACACCATTTTCATTAATAATACCCATTTCGTATTCACCCGCTCATTTTTATTTAAGGATTGGATCTTCATTTTTGGAGAAAGTGCTGCAAAATCTGCAAATGCTCGAAGGAAGAGCACGAAGTTCCAGACGACGATATTTACGGATGGGCCCAATTCCAGCTACTCGGTAGTAGACCCAATAAAATCAAAAAGAAAATACGTAAGTACCTGTTATTAACTACTCTTTTACATCTAAATATTTTACATTTCAATTTCCAAACAGATGATTCGATTCGATGTGTTTATTTGATCTTTTTAGTTTTTTCTTTACCGACATTCTCCTCCTTCTTGGCCGGCTCCGGTTTCTTCTCCTCTTTACCGGCCTTGTCCTTAGCAACGACTTTGTCCTTAGCACCGGCCGGTTTCGCCTCCGAGGCCCCTTTCGACACCAAATGGCTGACATTTTGATGGTCCATCAGCATAAACATACCCGGCATTCTCACTTTACTGTTGTACAGCAAATACACATCCTTGTAGGTTTCGTCGATGCCGGGCTCCGGCGCCTTTTCGCATTTATCCAGACACTCTTTCACGTCCTTCTTGATCTTATCGTCAATCGCCTTTATCTCCTCCTGCGTCACGAGTTGCTTGTCTATCATTTTCTTGGTGAAATTCTTGATGCAATCTTGCTCGTCCATTACCTTTTTGACTTCCTCTTTTGTTCGGTAACTGGTGCCCGGATCCGACATGGAATGTCCACGGTATCTAGATTTAATCGTAAAGATGTTATTAGTTTGTTAGTTAGTGAGTTTAGATTAATTTACCTGTAAGTATCGAGCTGTATTAACATCGGTTTCTTCTCTTTTCTAACGTATTCGGAGGCGAATTTCGCTGCGTCTAACACAGATTCCAAATCCATACCGTTGACTTTAATGCCCGGAATGAGGTCTCCTCTCGTGTAGTAATTGGTGTTCGCCGAATGTCGTTTTATAGCCGTACCCATGCTGTACCTGTTGTTTTCGACTATATAAACCACGGGTAGATTCCACAACAGGGCCATGTTGTACGATTCGAACGTTTGCCCCTGATCGGTGGCCCCGTCACCGAATATCGTATAAGACACGGCCCCTTTGTCCCTGTATTTGTGCGCCAGACCGATGCCCGATCCGAGGGGCACGTGGGCCCCGACGATACCGTTGCCTCCGAAGAAGTTCTTGCCGTATATGTGCATCGAACCGCCTGCGGGGGGGGATTCCATCAATTCCACCTACTCGTTAATTTGTAGTTCATCGGTTACCTTTTCCTCGCGACGAGCCGACGGTTTTGCCCATCAGTTCGCCCAGAACGTTCTCGTTGGACTCGCCCATGAGCAGCGCCCAGGCGTGGCATCTGTACGAGGTGATTATGGTGTCGTCGGGGCGCATCGAGGCTTTCACGCCCACCGCGCAGGCTTCTTCTCCGATGTACAGGTGGCAGAATCCTCGGATCTTTCGTTGCAAATACACCTGTTGGGCCTGCTGTTCCAGTTTCCTGATGCGCGTCATCTCCTTGAAACGAATCCGATGCTTGGACAATTGTTAGGTCGATGGGGGTTGGCTTACCGTGATGTATTGAAGGGCTTTCTCCTTCGAGAGTTCTTCGAAGGAAGGGGTGTATTGGATTCTATGTGCACCTGCATTATCCGATCCTATTTCGGTCGCTTCTGGATTACTTTCGGAGCTTTCCGGGGTCTTATCGGAGTCTTCCGAATCGCGTTTTTTGCCTTAAAATACCAAATAGAGTTAATTATTTACGCTGTAGTAATTTAGCGTGTACCTAATCCACGGACTTTCGCTTTTGTATCGATATAAGCGACGTTCCTGATTATAATCCGGTTTAAAATTTGCCTCGAAAGCCCACTCGAAATTTTCAATCGCAAAAATAAATATCCAAACATGGTTAATCGGAATTTGAAAAAAATACAAACATCACTTCATTGTGACAACTCATTACAACTTATAGTCATTTATTTATCTTCTTTTTCCATACCCCGCTATTACTCAAACCCCTTCGAGTACGAATAGAACCTCTCATATATATTCGTTGCAGTATTGCCCGGCAAAAAGGACGAAATCGACCTGGAATGGGCGCCGAAAGGCCACAACGACACCATCGACAAATACCTCAAGACCCTGCCGCCCGACCAGCTCCCGATCAAAGGCTCCGAAGCGGCGCAGAGCCGCAGGCGGCTCCTCCACAAGCAGATCCCCATCCACGACGTCGATCCGGCGCTCTGCCACGACCTCACCGACGACGAATTGAGCAAGATGAACGAGTACATAGCGCACGTGCGCCAATCGAGCGCCGGCGTCGGCCGCATCGTCAGCCTGTCGAGCATCATCCGGGGCAAGTTGCACGCGCTGAACCCCGCCGAGGCCGCCCTGATGGCCGGCCGATACGCCGAAGGGGCGCCCGTCTCCGAAATCGTCCGGTTACAGGGCAGTAACAGGACCGGCTCGTTGAACGGCACCTTGGAGAAGCTGACGTTGAGGAACAAGAATTTGCAGCGGATGGTGCCGAACGTTTCGAACAACATCGAGGACGTTGCGAATCCTATAACAGGCGTTAGAGTCCACGTGAAGGATTACCCCGTGTACGGTAGTAACGATGATAGGTGCATGCAGAACGTTCGGTATTCCTCTAAGCTTCGATCGAAGAATCATCCGATCGACCGGATGTCCGATGGAAACTCGAATTTCGATTCCGAGAACGTTCCCGGCTCGAATGCGGCTTCGTCGTTGAGCAAAACCCCGTTGGAGTACAATTCGGAGAGCAGCGCCTTCGTGCCCTATCACAAGCAGCCGATTGCGACTAATCTCACGAAGCCGAGCTACTCCGAGGCGCTTCCCGCGGACGGTAACGAGCAGATTTACGAGAACGTCGAGGAGCTGAAGAGGGCCGGACGTTTGCCGAATTACGCCGCCGGGAAATTCGACACGTTCGCCGACGTTCAAAATCCTACTAACATTCCCAGGAACGTTAAAGATTTCGCGTTCGGTACGTACGAAGCGCCGCCCGACGATCGCGAGCTCGCGCAGCACGACGAGACCGCTTCTAGTTCGAACGGATTCAGACCGATAGAGACTTTGAGTACGGCCGCGTCGGGTCGATTAGAGCCCGTTAGTCCGAGCGTCGTGCGCGGAGAGCGGAGCGGAGACAACGGGAGTCCAAACTACCAGAAATTCGGGCGCGATTCGGCCGTAAATCGCGGCGAAAACGCGCCGCGGGATCGTAGTAACGAAGCGTTAAGATCGAACAAGAAGCTGTCGGAGTTTCGACCGATCGATCGGCGAGCGAACGAAGAGGACTCGCTGGAACCGACGTTCGTCAATATCGGATCGATACGGGATATAGATTATCCGGAGATCGAAACGGCCGCCGGCGAATCGGGCGATTTCTACGAGGAATACAGCCCGGACAGCATCAGGGAGATCATGAACAACATCACCCTGCCCGATTGCCATCGGTGCAAGAAGCCGTTCGAAGAGAACGAATTCGCCGTCGCCATCGACAGGGCGGAGGCGCTCTTCCACGCCGGCTGTTTCAAGTGCGCCGGTTGCGATCAGATCCTCGCCGACAACGTGTATTTCTACCACCGGGAGAGCGACAACGTGTACTGCCTGCGCGATTACGCGAAGATCCGGGGGTTCCCGCGGTGCAAGGCCTGCGACGAGTTGATCTTCACCAAGGAGTACTGCCTGGCGGAGAATTGCACGTTTCATTTGAAGCATTTCTGTTGCACCGAGTGCGACGTGCCGCTGGCCGGTAGGGATTATTTGCTGGAGGAGGAGATGCCCTACTGTTTGCCGTGCTACGAGCAGAACAAGGCGAGCAAGTGTAACGGGTGTGGGAGGGTGATTAAGCCCGACGAGGTGGGGTGTACTTTGAACGGGGTGCATTTCCACGCGACGGAGGATTGCGTGGCTTGTAAGGTGTGTGGGGCTCCGTTGATCGGGAAGAAGATTTTGTTGCGTAACGATCGGTTGTATTGTTCGCACGAGTGCTTCGGTGCTGATGGGTGATTTTGTGATAGATTTTTTTTTAAATGGGAATAGGGCGGCTTGTGCGATTGTGCCAATACTTTTTAGGGTGATAGGTATAAATGTAATATTTTGGATAAATCATTTTTTTTATATGCGATTTTATAGACTTAAAGAGGTGCCTATTATATTTGAGGAATTTAAACGATGCCTTATGATGTATTTTTTGATGTATAATAACTGAAATTCGGTATAAAATTTTTATAATACCGATTAATGATAATAATAATTTGAAGACTGACTTGTGCTTTTATATTTTTATGAACTTTTATAATGGTATTTAATGGGAAAAATGCATCAATTTTTGTGCCATCGAATTGTATTTCATAGCTTGCAAAAGTTATTATTTTTATATGGATTATTAGGAACATGTTTCTATTTACCTATTGTATTACAATATGTTGGTTTATATTCCGAATTAAATAAAATTTTATATACCAATAAAATTACTTTTTATTATTGAAACTCCAATCGTTCGAAACTTTTTTATTTTTTAACTACAAATATTTGGCATAAACTTAATAATTTCACAACCACAGTTACGTTTTGCGCGTTATTAACTAAACATCCTGATGCGGATCGTCGAATTTGCGATAAAAGATTGTCAAAATCGTCTTTACAAACACAAAATATAATAATATTGCTGTATGTAATCTCATTTAGAGCTTCGAAATTGGTACAAACACTGCCCTATATTCCTATTATTTCAAAGGTCTAAAAACAGCCTATGATTATTTTTTGACATTTCGAGGAGAAAATGGAGAAATACATTAACCGAAGATACATGAGGCATGATGTTAACAAAATCATCGCTTAAGTATATTAACTAAATCTCTTGTTAAAGTATATTGTTGATACTTTTGAATTTCGCAGTATTAAACCTTTATAAAATTATTGTATGTTTTTATTTATTGCTAAATAATATGGTATGTTATAACTGGCCATTGTAAGTAAAAGTTTGGGTTATTTTACTTTATTGCTTACCCAAAACGTTGAGGAATTGGCAAAAATGTGTGATTGTTTATCGATGTGATATCGGAGTCCAATTGATAAATTTGCATTTGATCAATATTGGTAGCAAACCATTCGTTACCAACCAACCAGAACTTCCTTTAGACAATTTAATACCAGAAAAAAAAAATTCACCGAAACCGCTCGTAAACGAACCAAAAAACCTTCGAAACGAATCAAATAACAATACACTTATTCCTATCTAAAGCTTCCTGAATATTATCTATCATCGGGCTCTGATCCCTGCTACTCAAACTATCGATCATATTGATCAACTCCTTAAATACGGCCACTACCTTCCAATTGTACTTGGCGCTACATTCGATATAACCCGACTTCCAATGTTTCTTCACCAAATTCACGATGTCCCTGCGCTTCTCGTCGACGCCGCCCGTTATCGCCGGCTTGCCGCCGCCGCCGCCAGCCGTCCCATCGGGCCCCACCAGGTCCTGCTTGTTGCCCACCACCAGCAGCGGCACGTTTTGCATGTTGCGCGACTCGCAGATCTGCTCGCGCAGCGTTCGGACGTACTGGAACGTGTCGATGTTCGACAGATCGAACACCAGCACGTAGGCGGTGGCGCTGCGCAGCCCGTAGTACCGGTAGTTCGCCCATTCGTAGTACGAATTCACCGGGAAGTAGGGGATCACCGGCAGGTCAGAGATCTTGATCTCGTAGAGGCGCTCGTTCGTTATCACCGACGGGTAGTAGGTGTGCTTCCGCTCCGTCGGGACGTACTCGTCGCAGAAGTCGTTCCATACGAATTGCTGCACAGAAATTTATTATAATTATACTCCGTTCGCCACCAAGAGATACTAATAACACACAATTTTCTAAGCGATTAACTCAACGATTAAATCATAAGATTCTACTACTTTAAAGCTGCTATCAATGTGGAGTAGTACCGTTTATTTTACTTTAGTACTACCAACTTTGGTGTGTAATAGTGTGTGCTACAGGGTGTGTGTAATAATTCTGGAATATTCTTGGGTTTTGATGAGATTTAGCTGTTAAAGGATATCCATTTTCGTTAGACTATTTGGTAATTTTTGGTAAATTGGTACGGGGTAAATGTAACAAACGGTTCTAAAGTGCAATACAATTATATAGAAAAAACATATGGGGCAATTGTAAAAAAATATTTGGTTCCTCTAAAATTTGATATGCTGTTTATTTATTTATTTCAAAAAATAACAGAGCTACAAAATAATAAAGAAAAAATAAGAAAAAAACCCTATCTAATGCACAAAAAAACTATAAAAATAATAAAAACATTAACATAATAGGTAAAAATATTACATTTACCCCATTTTTACATTTGCCCCAGTCTACCTTACTACCAACTCTGGTGTGTAATAGTATGTGCTACAGGGTGTGTTATAATTCTGGGGTTTTTGATTAAGTTTTGATATAGTTCTTGAATCAAATGAGACATTCTGGGATTAACTTAACTGGGTCACCTTGTACATGTTATTAGGTGGCTCGAATCGGGCAAGAAACGAAGGTCGTTACGGGGTGTAGTTTTTCTTTGACCGTCGGCGGATTTTCCGCAAAAACAATATCTAATATAAGGTCCTGATTCTCGCAATTACTTTTTGCCCGGGCGACGGCGGAAGGCAAACCGAGAAAAAAGTTAATAAAAGAAAATAAAACACTGTTAGCACTTCTGTTTCATTTTGTCGAAGCTTTGAGATTTTTTTTCCTTCGGGCGCGTTTTTTTTTTTCGTTGCGCTGAAAGTTTCGCTGGGCGTTCATTAGATTGTAATTAAACGGTAATTTCTCTGTCGACTAGTAATTTTGAAGATTAAAAATCATAACTATTTTAGCTAAAGAGCAATTTATAAAGTCGAGCGACTTTTTGATTTATTTACCTCGACAATCGAACGAATCGAATCTACTACAATGTTCTTTTTGTGTGCAAGATATAAGGAAATTCCGGTCGAAACCCGCAGATAATGGCCGGCCGTCAACGGGGAATTTAATAAGGAATTGTGAATAATGAATTCTCTTCGGTTCGAAACGTTTGCCAACGAGGAAACTCTTTAGTTATGGAAACTTTACAGCTAATTTTTGCGAGAATATCACAAAGGGAAACGCGTTGTGTATTCACAAAGAAAGATTTTGCTCCGGAAAATGTTTTCCCATTTCGCCTAAATACGAGTTCGCGAATTAAAGAAAATAATATAATCCCACAAAAATCATCCAAAATTTAACAGGCGCCTGAAATCCAGATAACCATCCAGATCGGGGAGATGCAGAAGAGGAAGAAAACAGCACCGATTTGACTGGATTTTAATTGATTTTAATAATAAAGCGATATCAGCATTCCAACTCGACCCAACTTATGCCCCTTAATTGAATAATCCATTATGAATGGACCTTCGTCTGAGTCGAATTCCAGTCACTGAATTACATCACTAATTAATAGTTACTTATAGGGATTAAAATCGACTTTATACAGGACGTCCCGAATCGCACGCGCATATTTTGAGCCACCTTGTATATAGTAAGCCCGATTTTAATAATACGCGTAGTGGCTCCGCATCCACCGACGGCCAATTAAGGGAATATTACAAGATCAAACAGCCCGGCATCTGTACGAAACTCTCTTTAATTCACCGCTTAATTACGGCTCTCGGGATGTAAATTAAATTCAACTCGGAAAATGGTTAATTCACCGTAAGTTTCCTTCAACAAATTAATGCGAGTTTAGTTTTATTCGGGTTTTAATTGTTGCTTGATTTCGAGGTGGGTTATAGCGAATGTAATTCTAAAAAAGTCGATCATTTATTGTTCGCGCAAAAACACAAATCGAATTAAATTTTTTTTGAGGAACATTTCCATTTATTCGACGACGAAACAGTTGTACGTTTCCGAGCAAATTGAATTCAGCAATTTTTCCCGCAAACTTTCCGACGAAAACTTCTCGCTTTTATCTACTTTGCCGTAATATTCTTGAAATAAGTTTCCCTTTATTAGAGCGTTTACTTAGCAAATACAATGGGGTAAATTTAAAGTTACTCTCTTATATTTTCCAACAACCATCGCGGAAATTAATTTCCCGTTTATTCTCGTGATTATGGGCCGTTAATCTCGCGCGGGAAATAAGAAATTTTAACTGCATTACCGCCCCCTTGTCTCCGCAAAAATACGCCATAAATTTAATTAGCCCGTCAATTAAGCGGCCCTTTGGAAATGCGAAATTAATCTTCGATCGAATTTTGGATTTTTTTTCGCTTTGAAAGGTCGAAAACTCGTTTAAATTTAAGGCCGTTCCGAATATAAATTTGAAATTATAATAAAATTCGTTTGCGATTTTTGGCTTCTTCGGCGAAATATGGCGAAGAAATGATCGTGTAGTGTAGAGAGTAGAGTAGAGAGGAGTTTATATTAGTGTAGAGTAGAGAAATGTAGAGAGTAGATTAGAGATGGGATCAGGTGCCCCTGAAAAATTTCGTTTCTACTGGAAAAGAGGGTATAAAAGAGAAGTTCAGTATAGTAGCTATCAGATCCACTTAGTTATACAGTGAATTAGAGTTGACGTGAAGCGGCATGGAAAAGCCCTGGAAAACACTGGAATAAACATATTTAAGAGTTGGAATTTCCTGAATTGTTGGGTGTATCAAAGCGAAAGAACTTTCTATATTAATAAGGAAACAAAACGCTTATTTATTTATGGATGCAGGGCCGGTTTGAGGGATGAAACATCAGCCCATCAACTTTTATAATACATGAACGGATACTTAGCGAGTTTTTTACTTTTTCATTTAACTACGAAAAAACCCGCTCTTTATACATACAATCGAAAAACTGTCTACAGCAAAAAAAAGCCTCTTTTGTCTTTGAATTTCCCCGACTCATCTTCAGCGAAAGAGAAAATCTTTATCATTAGACCGGCTAAAAAACTTTTGTTTCGTCGAAACGAGACAAAAAAACACACTCAATGTGCCATTAATTTTTTTTAAAAACACTCATAAATGCCCTAAAAATGCTAAATATAAACATTCCATTACACTAACGCATTGCGAATAGGGGATTATAAAATCACCCTGTATAATATACCAGCTCGATAACTGATATTATCGCGAATAAATTACGCACAATCGCGTATGCACAAATCTAATTGGGTATTCATCAGTTCATATGTATTGTTTGTAATCAGGTAAACACAAGGCTTCAGCGATTGATGTTATTTATGTATCAGGACACTCTCTAATTAACTGGATCCTAGTAACAATTATCACTGGTGTCCAATTAGCAACTATAGCAAATAATAATCTAAACTTTAACTAACGTGTATCTACATAGCGCTGTATAAATACAGGGTGAAAGGGTACAAATTACAGGGTAAAAGAGGGAATTTTTTATAGGCGTTTAAAAATGATCAACTCACTAAAAGGGCTATTTTTCATTGGGACACCCTGTATATTAAAGATGAGCTTCGTAATGAGAGTTTTTGTTAAGGATGCGCTTACTTGTATTATGGACGTCTTGCCAACGGCCGGCGCCCCCAATAAAATAACCTTAATCCTGTCGACCGATTCTGGACTGATCTCGATCGGCGATCGCTGCTCCTGCTCCTGACCGTTCTCCTGGCATCCTGATGCTCCTGAAGTGGCATGCTGGCGTCTCTCCAGGAAATCCAGATCCAACTCTGCCGGCAAAATAAAACGAATTTGTACTACGAAAGGTCCTTTTTATATTTCATTGCGCGTTAACACGCAGGCTGTAAATTGTAAAAGAACGCCGGTAGGTTTTCGTGGAGTTGATAAAGTATGGTGAGATGTGGAAAATTCCCCTTCGAGTAGGCTCTTTTATTCATCGGGGAAAACGCTTGTTAGGCTAACGAGGCTTCGTGTAGGCTCGTTAATAAATCGGGTTATGTATAGGTGAAATTTATTGGCCTTTTCGGCGGAAGGATATCCAGAGACAAACCGGGAGGATTTCGGATATATTTCGAAGATATTTCGAATCCTTCATCGGAATTCACGTCGAAATTTCGAGCCGAAGGGATGCCCCGACGTTTATTAAAATTCACCCGTGTTTAAAACGCACAAAAAAAGATATAAATCGCGATTTTCGAGTCCGCCTCGAAAGAGAATGAATAATTTAATAACTCGCCCGTTTTATTACTCCCTTTTTGAAACGGAATGGATTTTATTGAGTAGGAATTTTATTAAAAAATCGCCGACGTAAATTCTTCGGTAGACATCCTGTATATAATTTCCCGGTAGTTTCGATAATGAATAGAATTCCGGACCGTTTTAATTGACGGCTGCCATTAACAAACGCGTTTTGTTTATTTATGTGCTTCGTTAAACTGTAATTAATAACGCGCAGGTACATCGAAACCGCATGTAATTAAATTACAAAATTCATACGGTGGAGTTCGTGAATAATAAATTTTGCACTATGCAGGAAATAAAGTCATCTTTAGAGTCCTCTGGGTAGTATATTGCGAGTGTAGAAAATTCTTTACGAGTTGCATATGAAATGAGAGTGGGTATAAAACAAATTCGTAAAGTAACTGCCACTTATACACATATCCCGTGGATTCTTGAATGATTTAAATCCGCCATTTTTCCAGCACGTGAAGTGCATTTTAGCCCGCGAAAATAGCGGAGAATTAAATTTTTATGCCAGTCTCTCGATACTAAAAATATACCGAAACGATTACCGGATTTTCTATAAACTCGAATTTGAATATGGAAATACACTTTCAGTGTGACACCCTGTATATAATACTTCTTATACACAAAACTGGAGAGAATAAGTGCGTTATTAATGAATGTTTTTAATGGTTTTCAACGATTTAATGGAACTGTATGAAAATATTAATATATCCGTTAGAGGCTCTTATTGCGACCTACAAATCCGTCTTTCTAGATATATTAAAGCCCATTAGAGTAATGAAAAATTTCAAAGTGGAAAACAATTTTCCCGTCATGCGAACTCGTCGGTTTCGAAGGCCTAATTTTGGCGCTCATAACGTCGTTATTTATGTATTTGAGTTTTTTTTTGTTTTCTTCGATTTATCACCGAGCATCGGTCGTAAATTTTCCTAACATGGGAAATTCGCGACGACAAAAGGAAATCCATAAATCTTGAAAATCACCTTTCCGCGTCGAGTAATTGCGAGTGTATTTTCGAAATATCATCCAGCGAGCCGATTTTTCGCTGGTATTAAAAGTCGAAAAACAAAGCGAAGTGATGGGAAATTAAAATTTTTCGCAGGAGTTTGCGATGAAACATTCGCCCGGGAAATGAAGGCGTTTTCCGGACGATAATTATCGCTTTCTTACACAATCCAATTTCCTTAAACACGATCGCTTTTGCTCGTCGAAAAGACCTGTTTTTTTATTAAAAATATTCCTGCCTAAGTAGGGTAGGGCGGGGCTAGTTGAGCATACGGGTAAGTTGTGCAATCGAAATATCTCGCAAACTATTCACCGTACGCATAAACATCTTATGGCGGAAAGAAGGGGTCGGGGGAGACCTAATCACAGAGCTATTGCAAGTGGCGCCTCGACAAGCGAGTAAAACCCCCGTGCGTTTTGTTTTTTTTGTGACCAAAAAGTAAAAACGTCGTCTATCGCAAGTTTTCGTCTGTATTAGTCAAATATTATCCGTTTTCAATGGGGTAAGGGTTAATATTCCAGAAAATTATTGTACTTTTGATATGTAGAGATGTTCTGGTTATAATTCTTACGATTTCTTTATGACCTCACTTTTATTTTAAAATTGCGGGTTGGGGTTAGTTGAGCAACTACTGCGAAATTTACCAGGAGAAAGTTGGATTCACTGCCAAGCTTGCAGGGAATGGGCACAAATAAAATGTCTTCCAGGTGCTATGGTCTTACTTTCATTTGTATTAATTGCAACAGTAACAACGACCAAAACTTGCTAATATATTATTAATATTTTTTTAAGCTATTTAATTCTGATTTTAAACAGAAAGCTCGTAAATTACTTTAAGTTTTGTTGTTTTGTCACTAAATCACAATAAATAAAGAGATGATTATAAAAATAAACATATCCTATATGTAAACATACCGTTGCTCAACTTACCTCACCTATGGGGTACATTGAGCATACTTGACTTTCTGCATTTAAACAGCTGTAGCTCTTAAATTCAACTAGTTACAAAAAAGTTACTATGGACACTTTTGTTAAGGGATAAATTACTAATCCATCAAGCCACATAACAAGTCATTCACACATATCATTGATGAGCTATATCCGCTAAAGTGAAAAGTTGCTCAACTAGCCCCGCCCTACCCTATGCATAATATCCACCTCCTTTCGAAGTAAATACATTTTAGATTTTTGTAATTAGTTTTATTGTGACGAGCGAAATATTAATTAGCACAAGGCATCCTTTAAAATTTACCGGTATACATTCAATAATTACTGTAATTAAGCTCTAAATGTCTTGCAAAATGAAAATTTTGCTATAAATTAGTAAATTAATGTATATTGAAGGTTTTCCACTAAGCTCATTGCTCTTTTTTATACTCTATTGTTAACACAACAATAGAATATTTTATTGTGGGAAATTTCTCGTTACTCTCATCTAATCACCCTGTATAACCCAATCGCATTATTAGAGGTGTTTCAAACCGCTGAAAATGCACCAGATTGAGCGGATTTTCGCCCTGTCCGAGGCGGCTTCGGGCGGAAAACTTTCCGCTGATCCGGGGGATTCCCCGATCGGCCTTCGCCACAACGGTTATTCGGAAACTTCGGTAATCCCAATACGACTGGGGCGAATTTTCCGATCGAACATCGCCGAACTAATTGACGAATTACGTCGTGTAAAATTCACCTAATAGTTTCGATTCGAAGCGCCCGATTTAAAACGTTTGTTGTAAATGCCATTCACTCACGGATTCGGCAGCTACCTCATGCATTAATCATGCGCTCGTTACCGTGCATCATTAACGCAAATAAAACGCGATGGGAGCTCTTAGACTCGGAAATTTGGAAAGTTTTAAGTTGGTACGAGTAGGTACTCGGAAAGTGAATAGAAGTTTGCCATTAGGGCGAATTCGTACGGACGTTCATTATTAATAGGATAAGTTGAGTTTCATATACAAATTATACTCCGTTCGCCATCACGAGACATCCAGGAGAGCTACTACTCTCTACCTGATAGCGAACAGACTATAAAAACATGTATCAAACATCTTACTAATAAATCTGGACTAATAAATAGTTTATTTCTTGAATATACTGCTTCAAGAAAGGCTTCTATCACCTGATTGCGAACTGAGTATAGTTTCCAAGTAGCGATAGCAGTAGTATAGGCGCATTTATGGCGGCTTTAAAACGCAATTTGTCATCCGCTTTAGCAAGACGTCGGGGATTCGGGTCGGTGGAAATCTTCTCTTTCGCCTCGAAAAGGCTGTCGAGCCGGTTTTATGAATATGGATGGGCGAGGTGGAGCGAAAACGGCGTGGAAATCGTCGCGGAAAATCCGGCGAATTCGGCGTATTTTATTTTTCACGCCTATCAATCGAACATGAAGATATGACCGATTTGTTTGTGGGAAAAGTTCGGTAAATTCTGCTCTAATAATCGCACGTTAGTTGGAGCAATTTGTGTGCACCCTGTATAATAAATATTGCATGTTTGTGGCGAATACAATTTACCTTCGATAGCGATTTCGGGACGCAAATTTCTGGGCGCATTAAATTTCCCTCCGGGGAGCGGAATCCTCCAGGTCCTGCTTACTTTTGCATTATTTCGTAGGAAAAACGCAATTTCCTCGTCGACTATAGGGGGGAGCGTACACTCCGGAATTTTGGGATCGTTGAGAGCATTTTTGTGTCTCTGGATGCGAGTTTAAATAGCGGATACCTTTTTTTCGTCGCCGCAAGGGAATAAATCATTCAGACCGTGTTGCGTGGAAAACTCCGGTATCGCTGTATGGTTGGCCTAACTCGTTTTATTTTATATAATCCTCGACGGAACGGCGCTTTTCTTTTCGAAAAGTAAATAAAAACATGTCGACTTGACGTTGTTGTATAGGTATAAAGGAACTTAGCGCGAGTAAACAACACCAGATATATGTAAAAGTGACTTTTGATATTTTGAAAAACACAACAATGTAAAACTGTCAAATAAACGAATCCCCTTAGTTACTCCATAACAACCATGTAAATCTGTCAATTGAATGAATCTCCTTAGTTACTCCATAACAACCATGTAAATCTGTCAAGTTAAACAATCTCCCTAGTTACTCCATAACAACAATGTAAAACTGTCAATTTACTTAAAAAAAGCGCAGAATACAGATGAATTTTTAGGGATATTTAAAATAATTTTCAGTAATTCTAGAAATCCTATTATCACAAATTCACACTTATAATTCTAGTAGTGCAGTAATTTATACGAATCAGAATCCAATTAAGCTGGAACTAGGAAGTTTTCTGTTTTTTAGAGGCCCCGGGAAAAAATTTAATTTACTGGTTTTTTTTCTGGAAGGAATAAATATCCTTCAGAAGCGGCGTAATGGAAAAAAGATGAATGGACTTTCGGGAACAAGGATAAAAATGAGTAAAAATCTTGAGGAATCATCTCGAATACTCGGAAAGGTTGTTATTTCAGTTGCTTTGATTTTCGTTGTGAATAAATAACGACGAAAGAAAATTCGTAAAAAGCATAAATTATCGGCGGAAGTACACTCTAATTCGTACTCGTATATATTCAGAATACAAAAAAAAATCCCTCATTTTAGATATAAATTAGACAAAAATCTGAATTTTCCATTTAAACATTTCAACTCAAAATTCTACGCGTAAAATTAAATATTTATATCAATCGAAAACCATTCTAAGAACGTAATTAATTTTATTCCCCATTTTCGATTTAACTGCGGTCCGTTTTAAACTTGTTACATCACTCTGCAGACTGCAATAAAACGGCGAAAGAGCAAACTGCCAGCGACTGTAAATTAGCCGGAGTTTCTGGATAATTAACTTGCAATTAAACAGCGCATTCGCAATTTAACTGCGGAAGTGAAATTAAATAACACGATTTGAGCGGTCTAATTAGCATAAGAAATCAACTCGAATTTAAATTCGAAACCCTACCAGGCCTAATTGAATCTAAAAAAATGCAAATGTACCGAGTTTTTTTAATTTCTATTTAAAATGCGCTTTGTTCCGCCGCTATACAGGGTGTCCCTATAACACAACGCCTGCGGGTTTTCTCTAATTGCACCCACAACCGATGCCGTTCAACCGAGTTAATTAATAACTAACGAGCTTTAAGAGAAGTCGCTAGTAGGAAATTAATTATGCATAAAGTCACGTACGGGAAGTAATTGTCTTTAAGAGACGTTTGTTTACGGTTCGGGCTAATTTCTTCGCGGATTTCGCCGCGAAACGCTGCCCTGAATGCGACAGTTCCGAAACCCGTTGGGGCGCAGTAGATTGGAATTTCAAACAATTCGAGAAGCTATTTAGAATAAAGCTCCGTGCGGAGCGTTCTAGCAGGAACTTCTTCGTCCTTTCTGTACAACTATATTTATTTTGTATATTGTGTTATTACAGAGCGGTGTATTAAATTTGTGAGCTTTAATGGCTCGTCCTTTAAACGAAAAAACTGACACTTTCATCAACTTTAAATTTGACAAATGAATGTCAGAGCCAAGAAACCATAGCAACAATTAATTGACACATTTTATAGTACGTTCAGAATTAATTCTTAAATGTATCAATATGCCCGGGGGTTAAAACTAAATTGGTCTTCACGTGAATATTCATTATTAAAATGTTTTCAAATTTGAAGGTTGACTTAAGAATGAAATAACCTTTAAAACGAGGTGTCACTTGACCCCCCTCTCCATAAGAAACAAAGATTCAAAATGGCGCCTAACTGTCATTTTGAAAGTTTCAACTGTCAATTTTACGTCAAAAAGTAGTATTTTTACTCCAATATAAACGGTTTTTCGATCTTATACTCAATGAAAATTAATTCACGTACATTGTGGAGATAACACAAAAAGGATTATCTAATTTCTGGCTCGAATTATGCATTGCTTATCCCATTGTTTCCGCCGTTCACACATTAATCAAACTCTCAATTGAATATAATTTTGCAATAATCTCACCAACCTGTTCGGTCCTTTGAGTCGCCTTATTCGAGCTCCTTGGGCTATCGCTCGCGCGGGACGTTTAATTTAATTAAAACCGCATTGTTCGAAAATTCGTTTTCGATGTAAACACACCTGCGTTAGACCGGATTTCGCCCGGCGGCTCTTTCGATCTTTCGCTTCGTTATCCAGCGATTAAAATCTTCCCTTAAGACCGGCGAATCGAGCTTCTTCTTCGATCCATCTTTAAGGCGAGTGCCGCGCACGATTGGATGGATATTTGTGTTTATAATCCGCGCTAAGTAAAGATATGCGTAAAGTAAATAAACCTTTCCGCTCACCTTGGCGCATTAGCGATGTAAACGGATATTGTGCAAACGAGCGCCCCAAAGCGAACGACCCAATTACGGACTTCCCCGAATGGAATCCTCTTTATCTACAGCTTGGATTAATTTTCAACGGGGAACGCGGCCGTGAATAACAATTTAGAGTGGAAGATGATTTTATTGCCCGAAAAAAGTTATTGTGCCGTATTAATTCGTTATACTTTGTGTGCCCCATTCGGAAAGGGAATTAATTACATTCCTGATGCTTTATTTGTATCTGTGTTAACTGCGAAGTGCCAAGAAACATGGGTAGTGTAGGTTTCATGTAACATAACCTAGTACAAAAAAACTTACCCTTATGAGTTGAGCAAAGAAAGATTGTTCAAACAACAGTGGTTAGAGTGAGCAAGTTGACATTTGTTTATACAAAGCAGATAACAACAAACAAACTAATGAACAAACTCTTTTCTCTGCTTATAAGAACGTTTCCAGGGATCTATCGGTTTTGTTTGGAATGCCGAAGAACCTCAGAACGAAACAAAAGGGCCATAGTGAAGGGTTAAAAGGTTTTAGTTGTACGGAATGCTGCGTTGTTTTCGACCGCAGCGGGGAGATTAAAACTCCGCACGGAGAAAATCCCCGGGTTATTCTCGAGTATAGCG